TTCTCTTCGACCACCGCACGTGAGCATCGCGCTTTAACGCGCCGCCTATCTCTCGTACCGATACCCAGCGCGCGTGCAGACTTATCAACGACGCGACCCACCGGTTCCAGCCACTTTTTCCTGCTCGACCGGCACGGAAAGCTGCTGCCCAACTTTCCTTCGTTGATCCGAGCGAGCAATTATCGCGTACGATATGCGAGACGCCAAAGAACTGACAGCGATCGTTATCGTATCGGAGAGGAAAGAAGTTGCGGAACGATCGGCGGGAAAACAACCTAAGATCCACCGTGCTTGCATAGCTTTACGAGCGAGCATCCCTAAAAGCCACCGTTAAACGCTAAAACGTACGGTTTTATTGATTCTCGTAAACGTTCCGGTGCAAGTCGCCGAGATACCGAGGAAACTTTCGGGAACTTTTTCTTACGTTTCAACCCCTATCGCTGCTAAGGAATTTCGGTAGATTCCACTAATCCCGAACAACGTGCTTATCTCCGGCTACTCGACCGAACTCGTGTACCTTCGTCGCTTTTCGTGCTTCGCGATACCTGTTGTATCGTTCCAACCAAGCTAACCAGCAGGTAGAAACTCTCGAGTAGAAACTCTTTGAGCCTAGCTCCAGAAACGCCGCGGCCGAATTCGTCGAACGGAAACAAGGATAATCGAACGACGAAACGAACGACCGACATCCGGGGATATACGCTTTTTCTCCGCCGTGACAGATTGTCGCTGTTAAATTATTTCTCTAGCCAGATATACCTACGCGTGTTGGCCCGTTCTCGGTCGCGGTCAAGCGTGATAAAATACTGGACTGTTTACCGTGGCTGCGTTCCGACTGTCACATTATTAGCGAGTGTACCGCTGCGTGACTATGGCAATCAGAGCAGAATGAGATCTAAAATTCGCAATCTCACGAATGAATCCACTCGAGTCCGCTTAATTACGACACCGTGATCATTAGCCGCGGACATTAGGAACAATCTACTCCAGATGCACAACTTTCGGAATTCTTCGTTGCTCCGCCAGCCCATGCTCAGCCGCGCCATAGGCGATTCGAGAAAGTAAGAAACGACCCGATTCCAGAATCGTTTTCAAGTCCGTCTGCTTATCTCGTTAACGATCGCTTCATTTGCCTGGACTCCTACTCGTACTCCCTGTATCTTCACCTAATCCGCATTTAGCCACTGACACGTCTCGGTATTGTGTCGTTCGGAGACGAAATCGAGCAGCCAGAGACGGCACGCGGATGGAAATAGGTTGATACCATAGGCACGCAGGAAATTGCATTCAGATGCAGAAACAACAGACATTTCTGCCATGGCAGAACGTTACTCTGCACCGGTGTTCTTTGTCTCTCGAGCTGACGTTGACTCATACCAGGTTGCAGCGACGCGCATGCACGGCCGCGGAAATCCGTGTATATAGACGATAATTGATAGGTGCGCGACGAAGGATGAAACCGAGCGCGGCTAAATGCAATCGATCTACGGGATAAATGGTTAATCGAACGAGATAAACGCCGATCTAATTCGCACTCTCGCTCGTACCCTCCGCGGACTCATCCTTCGCGAGAGAACTCTACCGCGATTCGTCGCTTCCGAATTTCTCGTTACGTCATTGCCTGCTCGGAAAAACATCGTACACTGGCGGAAGCACGACATAACGGATTTCGTTTCTCGAACTTTTACTTTCAGCGATTACACGCTGTCCGCGCGGAAGTTGCTCGGGCACAGTCTCTCGTCCGAGCCGAATTTCTCAACCCGGCTGGTTCGCGGCAAAAATTCGATCCTGCGAGCCACGGTCCGATACGCGAAACACGAAATTAGCATTTCGAGCAAACGGAAAGCGTGTTCGAGCGAAGGGTTCTGTACCAGTCGCCGTGATCGATGCGAAGCGTTGCTGAAATACAGGTAGACAAGGGCAAATAACGCGAGATACGCCGTGGAGATAAGGCAAAAGCGGTCTCGTCGCTGTTTCCTGCTGGCTGCAGCCAGTATGCGGGACTCGACAAACGGGTGCGCTCGTAATAAGCAGGAATCGAGCACGAACGAGCGTGCTGGCGATGCTCGACCGCGGACTCTATGCTAAATACGAGGATACCAATTCGACCGTCACTTTCTCCGTTAAGTTAGATGAGCGTGGTCGGTTTCGTCGGCACGGATCGATCTTCTTCGGTCGAAAGTGAATTTCGCGATCCACGAGCGCCGTGTCAGTGACCTTTAAGCGGGGGCTCACGTGTCGATGGCGCTGGACGAGGATCGCGATGGCCACGAGTGTCCGGTGTACGCGCCATCGACCATAAGTCCGGGGTCATGAGACATTTTATAGCGTGGCAACTATAATTGGTCGAAGAAAGTGGCTCGATGTTGTACCGTATGTACGGGGTGTACCTTGCTTTCGTTTACGAATCCATTTATCTCGCGCGGTTCGTCGATCGCCACGGAATTATGGTTTCCAATGCGGTTTCGTGCGAGAAGATTCAAGGACGCGATCGAGCGATTAAAATCCCTTTCTTTTTTTCTCCTTTTCTATTCTTTCTTTTTCTCGAAGATCAATTTCGATCAATTTCGATCTTACTATTCCATTGGACACCTTTCGACGCCCGATCGTACCTGCGATATCCTCGACCGCAGGTACGAGTTTCTACTCGGAGTAACGTAGGTAACACGAGGAAAGTCGCTAACCTCCGGATGTTCGATCGTTAATTATCTCGAATTCGACGCGGTAATCGTAAGAAATTGGTCGGAGAAAGCGGCGTGTAATATTTATATTTGCACGATTGTGGACGCCTGTGATTCAATCTGTCTCGTATCCAGAGCGGTTACATCCAGGCTCGGCCGATTTATATAATAAATTACAATACGATTTCCACGGTAATCGGCCGACGACGAAGACAAGGTTCCTTTTAACGCGGCGATATTTCACGATACGCGATGCAGGCCACGAACAAGCGGAAAGATTGGAGGGAAATTTATAGGTGGTTCTGTACGACTTTACCGTCACCGGCGACGACCAGCGAACGAAGCGAAATCTCTCGAAAGATTTTCTAACCTGCACGACACTCGCGACCACGGATCGCTCTTATATAACACGATGACCATTGAAATCATAGAACCGACGAGCCCGTTGGAGCGTCGTAAAACGACAATTTAATTGCAACGTTCGTCTCGCGAGGAACGCGACGACGTGTAAATCTTTCGGTGACGAGAAAGACACGGAGAGAGGAGAAAAACGGGGAAAAAGTTCGCTGGAACGCAGAAAAGGGGAGATGCGTGGTTGGAGAAAAAGCGTTTTATCGATGGCCTAACGAGACAACGGAAAGAGTTATTCCTTCCGTGCAAATCGGAGCTACAAATTATCCCGCAATTAGATCGTAAATCCCAGGAAACGCGTCTAGAGACGTGAGATCGCTCGATCAACGGCGAAAACGCTTGTCTATGCCGCATTAGCATTTAATTAGGGTTTTCTGCTTATAGGTAAACGGCACGAAAGCTCGGTGGAAATAACAGTTATCCGCACGATGCAACGCCGTGGTGGTATGCACGCGTGCACGTGCGACGGCTTTGTGCAATCGGCCACGCGGTACGTGTCCGCGTAAAAGTGGAAAAATTATCATTCCGGTCTAAACGATCGGTATCTATGGCCCACACGGTAGCCCCGTGTCTAGCCGGGTATGCGATGGACGCGCGCGCGCGCGCGCGTGCGCGATACGAGAGTGTTTGAAAAATGAAATCGGTCGTGAGTCGATTGTGTTCGTTCCCACCCACGTTATGTGTCGAGCGCGACTCGCGATCGCGAGATCGATCGCGTGATCGATACATCGCGGGTGGAAGAACGTTAGGAAAAGTTCGTAAAAGTTCGTAAAAGTTCGAACGGGGACAAAGTGCATTTCGTTCCACGCTAGAAAGTGCTGCTATCGATCACGTTGCGCACTTTCTTTCTTACGACGATTACGTGTAGAAGTCGGTGGAGTTCAAGGAACGCCACCGTGCATACGTACGACGCCTTCACTTTTCTTTTCGCGAGCTCGTTCTACGCACGTGCAAACACGCATGCGTATACGGCACGGGTGTATCAAACGCCGTACGAAAATGTCGGGAATGTTTCTTTTCCCAGACTGAATCGAGAGCCGTGGTAAAAAACGAGGAGGAAGAAACAATGATTATTCGAAGAAGCATTCGAAAAGATTAGGATCTTCGTTCTACTGGAAGCTAGGCCGTCGGAGAATGGAAAAGGAAAAGCGGTTGTGAATCAAAAGTTGCCGGTTTGTACCTCGGCCGGTGCACACGGCTTGTAGACACATCTGCTAAACGGGATGTTGTAAATACACGATCGAACCAGAATCCAAACATTCATTAATCCCATCGGAAATAATTAAAAGCGAACGGCCTGTAATAAACGTTGAACGAACGCTAACAAAAGTCAGCGAAAGAGTATATGTACGTACGAAGAGAAAGAGGCAAAGCACCGTGTACGAACACGCGAGAGGAGAATGACGTGCAACGTTTCTATAGAGCGCTTAAATACCGAAGGTAACGCCTCTTACTCCTGTATAGAATGTACGGCACCGTGTAGTCGGTGCACGGTCTACGTGTTGGTACATTAATCGTTCGAACCCTACGCCGAGTTTCGATTTCTACCACGGAATCCGAGAGTCGCTCGAATATAGGTTCGAGCTTTTCCACGATATTACGACGGAGATACGTGTGCGACACGGTTCGAAACAATCGCCACGCTAGACGCGATACGCTCGAATCGACGACAACGACGTCAACGGCGAAAGAACGAACGAACAAACGAACGGACGACCGACAGTTTACGAAATCTTCGGAAAAATGTCGTATCGTTTCGGGTAGCGCGTGCAAACCGTGCGAATGAAACACCAACGGTCGAAATCGATCGATATTCGGCATCGAATACGTAATTTCGAAACTAAAACGACGCGCGACGAGATACTCGAAGCGAAAGAAAAAACGAGAAAGGATAAAAGATAATTTACTTACGGTAAGGTGTGTCTTGTCAGGCGCGATCGCCGTGATTTCTACTGGCCTTGGTTCAGGTGGATTCGCCTTACTAAGAATGGCAGCTGGCATTTTCGCGACCAGAGATAGCCTCCTGGTGAGCCGTCTACCTAATTCCGCGCGTCGTCGCACCCTAACACGGGGACCGGTACCTTTGTAACCTCCGAATTCCATTCTGAGAGACGAGTGTCCTCCTTCCTTATCCCCGTGCTCTCATGGCGGCAAACGGTCGCATCTCGTGTCACGTGGTCGCACGGATTATACGATCATAACGCGACGCAGGTCTATCGGCGAGTTGACGAAACTCTCCAGCGTGTGTATGTGTATATAGGACGAACGAGGACTATGCGTATAATACGTGACGACCTTTCGATTCAACATGTCCAAACTCACAGCGCGTCCTTTCAACGCAACGACGAACACATCCTTCACGCGTCATCGATACTTCCTCTGTTCGTGTTTATTTTCGAAAATCCTACAGGGGCGTCGTTGACGCGAAAACATCGACGTCTCAACCACCGACACGGTTGGAATAGCCGTTAACGGATTTCACGTTTTCGATTCGATTCGCGTACGTTTCAATTCGGTTCGATTCGATTCGATTCGATTCGATTGGAGTCAAAGATCACTCTCGCGAACCGCCCCGTCACTCGACACTCCTCTCGCGAAACTGGGTCGTTGACGTATCGGCTTTTTTTCGAACGCGTTCAAAAACGCAAGGGGTACTGGTTTTCGAGCAACGGTTGTCCGCGCTGGGTTACACGCACGACGACGTAAACACTTACTCGGATGCTGGAGGGCCGCTCTCGGTCGCGTGCACACACACGTTGCTACGAGCATCTCCCTCTGGCTACGGACACACGTGCATCCTAGTCTCGCGAATACACTACGGTAGAACGAAGAGAGACGCAGTGCGGTGCGCGCGTGCACCAGCAGATTCGATGGTATTCGAAAAGCGAGGCACGAGGTGCGGAAAAGAGAGCAGCCGGTTCTTGCTAGCGTTCGGTCTGCCTGGCGCGCTTCGACTGAAATTGAATCGCAGCAACCTCCTACCACGCGGCCCGTCACACTGCCGGCCTTCCTAACCGTCGCGCCTCCTCGTCACTCTTGTATCTTCGCTTCTAGCCTACCAAAGAAATCCGCGTAAACAAAACGCACTTCCAAACCAGATGGAACACGCACGCACGCTTCACGATGAAACACTGATGTAACCGATGCGCGCGATCAATCTCGACCAATCTAACCGACCGTTCGACCAATCAGCGTCACCGTATTAGCGACACTCGCCCGATCCACCAATTACCGCGCATTGTTTATCGCGGCATCAACAATGGCGTTATTTTGCATTTCCGGAATAATTTTTTTCGTTATTCCTGCATCGATGTATTTACGAACGATAAGATACGAGAGTTTTCTTTCGTTCTTTGCACCGATCGCCTCGATACGACTCGAGTAAACGAGAAAATAATTACAGGTTAATTTTAAATAACAAATTCCGAACAATGTATACGACATAGTTTCTCTTAATTAGCTTACCGTGTCTAGATAGGAATAGTGAAATTTTCGAAAGTGAGCCATTCTCGAAAGCCGATACAACGATTGATTGTGCGCAGATCGATTACGAAACTCGTTCCCCGGTAGTATTTATGAAGCGTGTCGATCAACGCGCAGCGAGGACAAATCGATATCGGTGATGATTTATAGGAATCGATACAATATATCGATACATGTTATGCACGCGTTATAGGTGTTTTCAGTGGGAAAGAATACTTTTCGATTACACGGAGGGCATGGTTGTTACAACGTAGATGCTCGATACGATATCGAAGATTGAATACTCGGTGTCAAGCACGATCGTCACGTTGACACGGGAAATCAAAGAAAAGCAATCAGTTACAATTGGCACGATGAACGAGTATTTACGCTTATTACGATCGCGATGACTCCGACGGTGCAAAGTCGCAGTCGTTATACATTCTTGCTCGTGGTAAATAAATTCCTTGGCCTATAAATAACAAAGGCCTACAAGAAAGTACGTTTCTGAGCAAGTCGTGCCAAGAATTTTCATACGTTACGTAATAGGCTCGACTGGTTCGTAATTAGCTTTATGTTCCAGCCTGTTTCGTGTACTTATTATCTTCCTAGATGTCGCGCCAACTGCCACGAATTCGATTTAAAATGAACATCGGACGTGCATACACGGTAAACGTAACGAAAATTTCTATTTTTCAGATGCTCCGGAATGATTTGGCAATTTTGAAACAATTCGCAAGATGAACGACAGTGAAAATCAAGAGTATCCTCATCGCGATTAATCTGCGTTACAATTACGAGCCTAATTGGTCGAAAGTCAGGGGAAATCTCAGAAGCAACTAAATAGAATTATCCAATACGAAGTGAAGCGCGTTTACGTTCACGTTGCTGTACAATTGAACGGAGCGGAAGGAAAGCAGGTCCGTTTCATCCGTCACTTTCCTCTCGTCCTTACCGCTTCTTTTTCTCAGACCTTCGCCCAACGAAATTTCTCGACGGCCACGAAAATTAATAAGCACGATGACCATGAAATGCAACGCAACGCTGCAAGCCAAGCTTGCTAAGCAGAACGAGATTAGCCGTCAAAGGCTGGCGCAAGAACTTGTGAAACTCGAGAAGGTGGAAAAGTCGGACTTGAGGATGATAGAGACTGCGAGGCACCGGTTTCGATCCCGTCACAAGAACCTGGAAGCTCCACAGCCGTCCTTTGAATCAAACGTAAGGTCTCTCGGAAACTGCGCACGAGAAACCACTCGTCGAGGATGCACGCAGTTTCCTTTTCCTTTTTAACCCATGCTTTTCCGTAGTTTTTCGTAGAGAACGCCTTGCTCCGCAATTTCGATCGTACTTTACAATTTCACCAGAGATCAGGTTACTGTACCGTGTATTCTGGCGATCAACGCGGTTCGCCGTCTAATCTTCCGATTTAATTGCGAGCAATTGACGTGCAGGCTGTTAATGTACGCATGTACGAAACTCATAATCCTGGATTTTGCTACCATTGCACCGGAGCGATCAAAAAATGCAACGAGATGACCAAGCCGGAGCAGACACCGAAAGATTCCTACGAATTCGTACGCTCGATAGTTTTCACCAAGGACGAAGTAGATCCTGACAAGGTTCTCTGCCTCCACCTGTTGACTGCTCATAGCACGAAGTGGAGAAACAACGACGACACCAGGGTCAGACCTGTTACATCTTTACTGGAGAAAGGTACAGTTTTTCGTAGGAATAACGTAAGATACTTTTGTCAGACAATAAGATAAATCTTTTGCAGCTAAAAGGAAGCATTTCTCTGGAGCATGGAACAATAGCATACCGTGTTACGTAGTGGACACTCACGTGGTCTCGTCGAACACGAAGCTCCACGAGGACCCACGGAAGAAGATTTTGGAGGAGCAGGCGATACGCGAATTCGAGGAGAAATACAAGCAATATGTGGAGAACGACGCCGATTTTGAGAAAGCTTTGTCGTCGAACGCCAAACACACGAGGACTATGTTGCAGGGCTTTGAAAAAATGCCCTCGATTTCGCCTCACGTTTACTCTTTGCTCGGCGCCTCCCATGAGCTGCGAATAAAACAGGCTCTCGCGGAAGGCGTAGCGAGAAGAAAATTCGCATCGTCCAGCATGGAACTGAATAAACTGGAAGAGAACAGTATGTCTTTCCATCTGGACGACGATGACGATCTCTTAAGTAGAACGAACACAAACGCGTCGACTAGAAATTGGGTTACGAGATCGACGCGTAGCCCATCGAGGAGGTCCACGTTTGGTTCGTCGTACAAGCTGGACCATGGGATCACCATGCTGAAGTCGAAAAGAAAAAGGAATTACGATGCCACCGCCAAAGAGCTGATTACCATAAAATCTAGCATCGGAGCGATGCAAGACCCGCCTTCGAAAACTTCTAGCACCAAGTCTCCGTGTAATATATTCGGAAGTCGACCGTCGACGAATTCTCTTCTCTCGGCCACCTTGCATTCCGAAGTGACTAAAAAATACAGGAAGTGTATTTATCTGAACGCGCCCGTTAAATGCATCGAACTTCAAAGCAAAGATTACAAAGTCGTACCGATCCTTGTGAATTATCAACTGCAGGCTTTGGTGCAGACCGTGTTCGAAGTTCTGGAACGCGTGAACCCTGAAAAGTCGAAGAAAATAATCGACACCGCGAAAGACATAGAAGAAATAAATAAAATGTTGTTACGGCTGGACATGCAGAATTTTATGCAATCCCTGTTGGGTCAGTCGTTAGTCTCGTCTCCGGAAAGCTTCGTGGTTTCACTGGCGACAGTGGCGGATGAAATAGATCTCCGATTCGAGGAAATTCTAGAAACAGAGATAATCGCGTTCACTCTGGAAATGCCATCGCTACCACCTCTCGATGCTCTAATTACCGAGATACGAAATAACATATTTCTCGACGAGAATAAGTCGGAGGAAAATGGAATTGCCGGGATAACATCCGCAGGTCCCGGTAAGGAAAAATCTGAGAAGAAACGAGGAAAGACTAAGAGTAAAAATTGGTCCCGCTGGGACAGACGCAAAGGCTATCGTAAAGGTGCATTTTCTGGCAAACCGAAGGAAAGCAACGTGCAAGACTCCGAGACGAAGTGTGGAAGCAGCTTAAGGAAAAACTCGAAGATAAAAGCGGCCGATCAACTGAGAGTTTCAGGAAATGTTCTCGCTAAACGTACTTCGAATTCCAAAGTAAGGTGTTCGTAAGAAAAGTATAGAAACGAAAAAAAGAAGTGTTATTGCAACGGCATTTCAAAGTCTGAAATATTCAAAAGGAAAAGATCTGATAAGAAATATTTTTCCTATTCCGTGTGGTTGCAGTCTTGGAAATTTGCCCAGGATCTCGGCCATTTAGACGCGAATCATGTAATATTGCAAAGAATGACGAACACTCAAAGAATCTTAGTAGGACAAATGTGCGCCTCTCTTAAGACCAAGAGAATTAATAATCAAGGTTTTATCGTGATTAAATTAATATTTTATAATTCGCGATATTTATAATTTCTTCCTCGGTTTTTCTGCAGGTTTAATTAACGAAAGCGTACCACTTGCGGCATTAATTGCCCCGGCCCTCTCACGCGATAGCATTAAATTCTTGACACGGGATACGGTATATTCAAAAAGGAATACCATAAACGAGGAAGAAGAAGTAGAGGATAACGTTATAGTTCCAGATAAGTTAACTGGTCCTTTGCTCGCAAAGGTCGCTAATTTAATATCTTTCTGCATTTATAAGAAATGTGTAATATTTAAAAATGATAAATTACTACATGCATCGCTGTGTACATTTCTCTTTAGATACGACAAGATATAGCGGAGAATGAAACGAAGCTACGTTTGAAATGTTTCTTAAGAAATACAGTCTCGTGAAACGCAGAATGGTATATACGATCGATTCGTTATTTTTCTTCGTACAGTTATGCATTGTAATTATTAAAATAAATTATTCTGTACTTGAACGCAGTAAATATTTACCGACCGTCAACGACAACATTTATAGATACTTACAGGTATAGCGAATAGATGGCGCGAAAGTTCCTTGTGGAAGTTGTATACAATATAAATTTAAAATTGTAAATAAATGAGAAAACATATGTTTCTTTTCGATCCTTGATTGAAGTTTAAAAAAAATTTTCCTATTATAAATAAAATAATAAAATTGCTGCGAAATTATTACGTTTTGTAAAAAGCATTATTATAAGAACCATATATGGATAGGAATGGTATATCTACCTGTTTAACATTTCGATAAATAATTTCTATGTTAAATAAAATTTATAAAATATGCAATTAAATACGGTACGACGTTTTGGCTGTTTACATGAAATGAAAACAATTTGCACAATAAACTATTAGTGAATGCGATTGAATATAATCAGTCAGCTGATCAAAGCCGCGCAGTCGCAGCTGTATTACTGCATAGGCGTAAAGGAACAAGTTTGCAGTTTTAAATGAAGCATGAGTTTACAGCTGTATGTGTACAGTTGGAAAAAGTGGCTTAAAAGTGAAACGTTAAAAATCGATTAAAATACAATATTTTATGTTCGATAAATAAACGATCATCCAGAAGACTAGCACGGAATTTTATTGCGTTACGCCATGTTTACCGATGTGAGAAAAGTACACCAGATGTATTGCAGAATTCGTACAAGATGTCTGTGTTAAAAATTTCTTATGCGAATCGAAACAATGCTCATATGTTTATGTATAAACTTCATATGTATAAACCTCAACGCGACAAGTAATCTGCTTGAATAGAAGCAAAACGATATGTACGAATGCTATACAACGTTCAGTTTAAACATATTTTTTTGGATCGTATAAAAAACGTCTGGCGAGAAACATCTGTATTTTTAACTACATACTTTTCTGGAAACCGACGATCCATTGTCAATTACGATGATAGTCATGTATACATTTAAACCATTTATGTTCATGAAACATGAAGCACAGAGTCTAGAACGTCCAAAAGCTAGAAGTGGACATAGAATAGTTTGTGATCATAAGAACTTGTATTCTTATGGTGGATTTAATCCGTGTATCTCTGATACTGATCCTGAAATGCGAAATGATCAGACTTGGATTTCTAGTAAACCGCTTTTCAAAGAAGTTTGGAAATTCAATCTTGTTACACAACAATGGAAGCGTTTACCAGGTCAAGATAATATGCCCAATGAATTGGCATCTAATGCAGTGATTTTAAGGGGTAATGTCCTAATGGTTTATGGTGGGACTGGTGTACCATTTGGACATAGTTGTAGTAATCATCTTTATGTGTGCAATGTTAATGATGGTAAAATGTACATAGTTCCTGCAAAAGGAGATCTACCTGAACCCCAATATGGACAAGCTTTAGTATGTCATGGGTCATATTTATATACTGTTGGTGGTACTACAGGATACGAATATACTTGTGATATTCATAGATTTGATCTTAGGACTGGTGTTTGGGAAACTGTTTATATTTGTTCTGGAAGAGATCAGAGTGAACCTACAGGACGATATAGACATGAATTAGCTTTTGATGGAAAACTTATATATGTTTTGGGAGGTGGAACAGCTACAGAAGCATTTGGTTTCTTGGTATGTCAATTTTTATATAATTTCTTACAATTTTGAACTCGTGTAAAATATTTTGTAAATTGAGTGGAATTGAATTAGTTAAAAATTTTTCATTATTATAATATTAAATTTGTGTTTAGGAAATCCCTGCCTTTGACTTAGAAACAAACAAATGGATAATATTAAACACGTATGGTGATAATGATGATAATACAGTACCAGAACCTAGACGTTGTCATGGATCTGTGCAATATACAGATGAAAAAACAGGTGTTACATCTGTGGTAATTTCTGGAGGGTATAATGGAGATCATGTTTTCTCTGATGTTTGGAGATTAGATTTGAAGTTGCTACAATGGACACGTTTAAGAAAATGTATACTTCCACGTCCTGTGTATTTCCATTCTGCAACTCTTACTCCAGAAGGACGCATGTATACATTTGGCGGTATTATTAAAGAAAATAATAAGGTTGTTATAACTTTCTTATTTTCTTACTTTTTTTCCTTTAACTTACAATTTGCTAAATTGTTCTGAAAAATGTTGCAGGTTGTAAGAACTGATGCAGTTCATTCTGCATGGTTAACAATCCCTAAATTATCAGAAATATGTTGGCAAGCATTAATTTATTACTACCCAGATATAAGGTATAAATCTCAAGATGAATTACTTCACATGGGCATACCACTAAAATTTGTGCAAAAAATTGATTGGTATGATGCATAATATTTAAGAAACTCTTTTGATATTTGCTACACATTTAAAGCGTTACCACTCCTTACGTACATTGTTACCAGTTACTTATTGCATGAATATTGTAATTGTTGAACATTATTGCCATAATTTATTTACAATATTTTTATAAAAAAGGTACATAGTGTGTTGGGCAATTAATATGACAAATATTATCAATGGATCACTTTCTTCAAATTTACTTATATCATGTAATATTTTACGTATTGGATGAAACTTTGCATATGAATTGTATGTGTTAGAGAAGGAAGAGAAGTTCACATAAACATATATTCGGAAATTGAATGTTTGAAATATATTACCAAAATTAAATCAAATTGTACTGTGAAAAAAGAATATTTTAGAACATTTGTTTATACGAATCTTTTTTCTTGCTATAATACATAGAAATTGTGCACAAAGTTTCATCCAATCTTTTTTGATACACTTTGTATAACGAATAGTATACAATATTTATAAAATCTTTCTGTTTCTTTTAAAGTTTATTCAAATTTCTTTCCATTTATAAGCGATCTAAAATTGTAAATTCAAAAATTACAAGTAAAACTTTTTGTACAAAGTTTTATTTGTAGAAAGAATTGCAAAGTCTCTTTTCCTTTCGCTAAATCAAATTTTGTAGCAAATACTTTATTTTACACAATTGTTATCTGTTTTTTTATCGAAGTTTGAATTATTCAATTCATATTTTTTATTCGAATGTTTAATGAAGCAGGTTCTTATACTTAACAAAGAATTGTAATGCATGCAACATAAGGTTAATGACAAATATGGTTATTAACTTACTTTAGCTGTTACATAACATTCGTGACAGGAATGGTTATAATAAAGTATATAAATTTTTGACATAAAGAAACTATGCATATAGCTTGTTAAAAAATTGTGCTGTTCTTTCTTTATTCGCACCGCAAGACGTCCTCCATTAAAATTTTCAATACATCTTTGTATATACATATAGCCATGAACAAGCAATAATGAATTGGGCTCGTACAAGATTAATTGCTCGTTGCAATATACTATATGTATATTTTGAAGTGAAAAAAGAAAAATTGGCTATGTAAAAAATAGACATTGAAAAATATTATTTTAGTTTGGCTACATTAGTTGTTCAGTTCAATGTGTTGAAGAACAAATTTATGTGGAATCGTAATAATAAAAATAATAATAATAATAATAATAATAATATTAATATTAATAATAATGATAATAATAATAATAATAATAATATTAATAATGTAATATACTATACAATTGTTTCTCACATATTGCTTAAAATTTGTTTTCTGTTTGTGATAAATGATTATTGTTTTACAAAAATTTATTTACATAATTATACGTATTATTGTAGTTTACAACAGTTGAAAGCAAATTTTATACTTTCAAATGGGTGATTCTCAGAAAAATAAAATTATTTCATAGTAATTTTTCTCCGCGCAATTTTTATTGAATCGATGAGATATAAATAGGTTTACAATATCCCATAGGACATACTAGCTATGCCACAAAATCAGCTAAACAAATAAATAAATGCATATAATTTTATTAATGCTTTTGTAAAAGATATTTGGCAGAAGACTGAGACGAGGGGACTGAAAATTTTGAAATTAAGCATGAAAAACTCTAAAGTGAATTAATACTTCATTCCGATGTTAAAAAACAAGATAAAGACCACAGTTCTGTATCTGTCACATTAAAGAAAATTAGGAAAAAATGATGTAATTAAAGTATAATACATACCAGGGGACTGAAAACTTGAGTGGCAGAGCACAATTTCTGTAACGAATCTGCGATGTTACATCAGACGAACATGATCATCTGCGTATTCTTATGAAACAAAGAATATCTACGAATATCGCTTCGCACTTATAAAACATAAGAACGTCGTTGCTTCGCTAATATCAGAAATGTCAACTGTTTAGAAACAATCGGTTGGCACGAAATAAATTAAATTGCCGTTTCTTATTGCTTGCCTATACAGATATAGTTGTAATCTTCCTCTACCATGAAAATCAAATGGAATTAAAAATATTTTTAAACGTATGGCCAGTGTTGGACACAGAAATTCCAAACTTCTGAGGATCATCCAAATACAGATCAACAGTACAAATAATACACAAATATTTAGGCAATATAAGTTTTATCTTCGGATAACATACTTTTATTCAGTTTGTTGAAGAAACGAACCCTAAATCTAATTTTTATACAAAGTAATCTAAATAATTTTATTCTATACTTCTATTCAGGGAAATTTAATGGCAGAAAGTGCTCCATTGCAAACGAAAGCCTTTTTACGATGATATTATTGATAAGAATATTAATTACACAATATCTATTTATTGTCTGTATCATATTACAGATTATTTTTTTAATAAATATAAGCTAGCCTGTGGATACGAATAACGAATTAACAGAAACCAATGACGATGTAACTTAAACTTTTTTAGTAATATTGCAAACTTAAGTTTCAACATAATGAATTGCAATCGAATACAAAATCCGATTTTAATTTCCATTATATTAATTGCCGTTTGTGCTGAGTTAAATAAATTGTATCTAGGCTGTAAGGTCTGTATAGAAGACAAGTATTTCAACGTTTCGAGGAAGTGTTAGCGATCGAATGTCGCCGAACATTTGAAATAAAGAATGGAAAATTCCTCTTAAGGAACCGAAAGCGTCTTCTGTAGAATGTTCTTCACTTCGAATAGCAAAAGGAAAAAAAAAAAAAAGAAAACTAAAAATATTGCTTCTCTTTTGGCACAAAGCAATACGATATATAACGTTGCCTTTCTCTGCATTCGCAGTTTCACTGAAGCAGAACTCCATATCAAACAGACGATGTATTTGCGTACCAATTTCGGAGTACAAAATAGCTTAAAAGTTACTTTATTAAGTACGCAATGCAGAATGCATCTGATTATTATTATTAGTAGGCATGATTATCGAAAGAGAACTCGGGGAACAAACGATGGTAAAGAGGACGATATGTTACACGTGAATCCGTGTAAGACGCAAAGAAACTCTTGCCTTAAAATTAGATAAGCTAAATGCATTCATGTTTGTATGCGATACATTAATAACGTACAGTAAAGAATCCTTATTGACGTTCCATACGGACGAATCGTATCGACATGCATACAAAAGTCACGCGAATTACACTTAAGTAGACACAAAGGTTGTTTCTCTTCTTATTGTTCAATTCTCGGTGCTATTTATCTAAATTTATGGAAATGCACCCATAGGCGTGCGTATTAGTTGAAAAGATAGATTGTAAATAGGAAATTGAATACAGTCAAGCTGATACTCTTAATCCTGTTTATTTCTCTTCACACACCCTTTATTATATTTAATACGAGTACTATAATCCACGTATTAAATATGCTTACGAGTTGATCGAACTTTTGTGTAAAAGAAACTGTTCTTTGTTACTTTTCAAGCTGTAAATGTAATTACACGCGATTATAAGCGACACTGCGCAAATGTACTTGGGAAAAACGATGTAATGGAAAATCCTGTCAAAATTATATAGTTACGAAAATGTTATATACGAAAACTAGAAACACTGTATGCTACTGCCACTTTACATTGAACGATCTTACCAAACGTAAAGGTTTTCAGACAGCTGTGCAAAGACTACATTGAAATCTAAATTGGTACATTGACGAAGCAATTAAGATCTCATTTGACGGTCTAGATGTTAATTCCACTTGTTGTCTTTACCTTATTAATAATAACACTGAAAGTATTTTATAGTGCGCGCGTTTGTTTTCGTGCCTTTAAATGCGTGTGCACGTGTTCACAATGATCGCGAGACATCAACGATAAGATATCTAGATGTTATTACGTCTGCCCATAGAGTACCGATAGACTACCATTTTTCAATATTTCACTCGTTCTATTAATACGAACAGACGTGAAAATGTAAAAAGTATCGTGAGATCAAAATTCAAAATTACATTGTCAATGAGATCAAGTACGTAAGATTATATTTCTTAATATTAGAGGTAAATTAGCTAGCTGTGTAAATGAATATTTGTATCTTTTGGTTGTATCCGAACTAGTTGAATTACGTATTACCCTTTTGTGAAAATAAATATATTTTACAGACGTACGTTGTAATTAATTTCGTAAGAAGCGGGTTGCAAATGAAAATATTGTAAATTAATTTCGTTGCGAAAACAAGTGGAAACGTTTTATTGTATGCTTAAAAAAAAGGTCGCTGTAATTTATAACCATTGTACAGGTAACGATCGATGGAAAGATAAAGAGGTGCTATATAAACTGCTTCTGCATTTCTTTCTATTACATTACCAAAATTAAATTTAGCGCGTAAAATCCTTAAAAGAAAGTCACATAGATATGCACACGTGTGTGTGTTAAGAAGAACGTATCGAAGATTTCATTGCCAGTATAAGAAATGGAAACATAAACGAATACGTAACGATTACGCGCATGTGTACGTGTGTGTATCGCTTAATTTTGAAATTTCGATCGCGTATCACGATTGTTATCGAAGGAAATGAAAGGAAAGTAGATTTGAGAAAGAAAGTTCGAGGAAATTCGAAATTTTTGATTATTTAATGCTCGCCAGAAATCGAACGCAGCGACAAATTGATGTCAAGTGTTGCTCGGGCAGTTCCGTAAGCAACCGCTGTATATTCGGACGTTTCCGTATTGCGCATGGCCGTAACACAAAGAGAATAGTATAACTCGATTAAACGCACTCACGGACAGCTTCATTTTGAGGCAGACGTCTGCACCATCGAGTGGCAGTTTACTGTCTTTCTACGTTGAGATATCATCACTTTATTCCCATATCCTCGATGTATCTGACTCCGCGATATATCGAAATATACGGTGAAGTGTTCATGTAGTATTCGTACAATCGTTGACACCGTTCACGTGCCAGACGAAGACCTACCTCCATCTTTCCATCGAAATCGACTCGAAACACCTCGTGGACTCGAGCAGCGAAAAAAGGCTCTAAAAATACTGATTCAACATGGAGCAGAAGCGGGTGTATAAAGTGGTGCTCACTGGAGGTAAGTTATATTTTTTCTTCCTGCGAATAATTTCATTGTCATACATTCCATGTGTCATGGAAATGTAATTCGTTTCCGCCTTTTCGTTGCTTTGACAATCACGTTACACTCAGATACCTTGGAAGCTTATCAGCGGTGTAAAAATGTTAATCGAATTTCCATAAAACAGAAAAAGTTTCTTCGTGTTTATCGTAAATTTGCGCATACATAAATTCACTTCTTTACACTCGCCCGTACCAAATTATTCATACGGACAACTATACAAACGCGGTTATTTAAATTCGCTGCCTATGGAATAACTCGAAATATTATATCGATATTGACAGCTCGACGTGTCTAAATTTAAGTCGTCAAAAACACGTATCACGGATCATTTACATAGCATCGCGACGATATATGACAGTCAGAAATTTGTTTTCCCGTTACAAACATTTCGATAAGCGTTCAGAAAGAAAACAATAAACAAATGCAGGATCCAATTTCTATTTCTATAAATATCGTGATGTATACTGGGTGTTACCAGACGCATGATCAGGTTAGGGATGATTATACGTGCGAAAATAAGTCGAAAAGGGGAGCAACGTTTTTCCTTTCGAGTTTTCGTTTACGAGAAAATCCAGTTTGAGAATTGTTTCCAATTAACTCGATATATTTTCGTTTACACTTTCATATTCGTTGTCCTCCGTAATGTTCGTAATCCATCTTCAGTCGACGGGCTACCGGTCCACTCTTAGTCTGTTTGCGCCGGTTAACAACGGTATTAAGAACTGCTGCGTCTAAATGTATAACTCTTTTACGACCACCGCAGATTAATCATGTAATCAACGATGCTCGATTAATCTTTCTGTATCATCCTTTTGTCTGGGTGGTGATTTGGATTTCACGACATATTATTACGATTTGACTGATACAGTAACGGACTAACGATAAGAATAACCTGTAGCTGTGCGGTTGGAGGCAGAATTGTAAGCAGTGCAGGTACCAATGGTACCACCTGTCGTCCGGTAACACCCTCTATAAAGAAATACGCGTCACGTGTATAGCAAACGCAAAAATACAACCAACTACGTATATTATCTTTTTTCTACGCTTTGAAATAATATTCGATAGCATATAACAAAATGAATTCGATAGCACAATGCAAGGTCAGTTCTAGAATCTACGTTTCTTAAACGAAAGATCTCGTTGAATGATTTACCCCTCGATCAGTAACCTCGAATGCCGAATCGAACAATCGCGCCGATACATTAACACTTCATTTTAGTTATTGAGACAACGAGGAGGATGGAGAGAATTGATTTAATCAGAAGCATCTCGATCGGTCATTGAACGAACACATATCTACGCATGTTCGTATCGAAACTTTCCGATACCTCTGCATCTCCTTACCATACTGTTGTTAGCATTACCATAGTGACCAGTTTTACATGCGCATTCGCCATTTTTCATCACCGACGATATTTGCAATGTAGAGTGGTCGGGGCAAAAAACTCCTCGCAAAGTCTGCGTACAATTCAAACCAGTTACAAGTAAATGAGCGTATATATCGTACAACTGGTTAGGGGGGCACGCAATCGCGTATACACTGACAGGAGACATCTTTTAATCTACGCGCATCGTCTGGTTCGGCAATATTCGAAACGAGAGCAATAAACGTGCTCGAACATCTACACGACACGTGCGTGCCTCGAAATATTAACGCTTGAGACTTATCATCCCTATCTCTTGCACGTGCCCAGTAGGCAAGGAAACGTTGCACGTTCCTTCCAATGTGAAGACAGTTTAAAAAATATATCAATTTTTAACATCGTTAAAGTCGTGAAAGAAAATTTCCGTAAGCTTCATCGGTAGATGAGAAGGTTTAGTCGCCGAGGCTAGTAACATATCCGGGGCTCAAGTCACTAGATACGCGATAGGGACTAAGGTCTCGATGACGTTTAGGAGAACCAAGACCTTGAATGGTAGAGTGCAAATGTGTTAAGAACAATTATTGGCGATAATTAGAAATAAATTTGCGTATACATAGTCCTTATCGTTGTTCTCTTTTTCACGCTCGGAGTGACTCTGTTCGAGCAAGTAGAAATTTGCACGGGTCACGTTGCATTTTATTTTCGTAGTTTAAGGCTTCATAAACCAGTCGCGTCACGTCATTCCTATTTGCGCTGTTCGGATCCGTATGGATACCCAATAGCTACGTGTACGCGGAGGTCAAGGTTGGCGACGTCATAACCCTTTGAACTTGCTTTCGTTCGACAGGGATAATCCTTTCCGCCAACGCGAATTTTCTTCGTCGCTTACGATCCTCCTGCGTATCTTATAGCCTACGCATGTCGAAACGAAGCGATTTGCTTCCCTCTAATTAACCGTTTTTATCTCACTGGTAATGGCGTGGAACAACGCGGAATAGAGACAGCGACGACCGGAATTGCTGACAAAGAGATTAAAAATAAAGAAAGGAACGAGTCGGTTAAAGAACGTTTTGCGCTTTTGTGTTTCAGGTCCTTGTGGCGGGAAAACAACCGGTCAGATGCGGTTATGCACGTTCTTCGAAAACATGGGTTGGAAGGTAAGCCTGCTTTACCCTGTTGTTCATTGCGCTTTTCGTATAGCAGAGAGACGACCGATGCTTCGGTTCAAATGAAATACCCCAAAGAGTTCAATAGCCTCTAGTTAATTAAGCAAGCCCGATTATTTAATTTTATGTCTGCGCCATCCGTAATGTCTACGTTCTTACCCCGGTTTCACCTTGCCAAAATTTTTGCCAAAAAGATTCACGAGTTCGTGTGATTAAACCTGCTTAACAACGAAAGCACGAAAGGATCGCCGTATACAAACTTCCACGTACACGACTACTTTACATCCAAGATCTGTAAATATTTTCTTTTTCCGTGGAGACTGTTTCCCCACGTGGCAACGCATCCAACGGGAATAAAGCTTGTTATCCATGAAAAAGTATGAGAAAGAGCAAATTAATTGGATATACGAACTGATTTTGGGATTACCGCCCTTCAATGTGGATTCGATAGAGCGCACGTTATTTTCTTTTTCAGGTATTCCGTGTTCCCGAAACAGCGACCGTGCTGCTCAGGTATGCAATTACACAATAATAAATTCATAGATAGAGGAAGAAACTGATATGACCGTGGTACGAATGTTTTCGATGCGAATTCGAAGCTATTCGGATATGCTTGGAAAACCGACCACCGATCTTTCATCCTTCCACTCGATATCGCATGCTAAAAGGATCCTAGAAACTCCGTCCTTTTACCATTTTGTCGTATATCGATGGGATCGGATCGGTTTTCGCTGCGTAACGAGTCGCTTTAAATTCGTACGCTTAAGCTTTCGTTCGGTGCTTACTCCGTTACCTTTCGCTGTCCAGTTATAAAATTATTGATCGAGACACGGATAACCGTACTAACGAACATAACAATCGCGATGACGTAGGAACAATTCGCGCTTCTATTACCGACGAAAGTAAGAAAACACGGGAGTACGATGTACTTCAAAACATCCTTTGTCTAGCATCGGAGCAAAAGTGGATGAAGCGTTCATAAACTATATTCCTGATCGTGACAAACGATGATTCATTACGGAAACAGTTGTTCGACGAATGTATGCATCGTGCGCGATACTACTCCGATGTCGATGCATCGGTATGGCACGTTGAGTAACGATTAAAAGGACGATGATACTCGAGAGAAATAACATCGTCACCTGTGTACAATAATCTCTCTGTAAGTGACACCGCTTCGGGACCGCTTAGTGTCACTTATAGAGAAGTATGACGTTCTCAAATCACAGCACCCGACGGACTACTTCTCGAGCTCGCTTTTCAATCCGACGACTCGAGCCTTCGAGTTCGCTTTCACGTTCACACCTGTGATGAGCTTGCTACGTTATTCGATGAACCAAAAGGTCATATCTGTGAACAAATAGATAACTCATCTTCTGTATAGACTAGTCTGTTTTACGAGCTAAAACGATACACTCTCTACTAGCGACAATCCGATATCCCACCGATATTCTTTACCAACTAGTCCCTTGGTTTGCCAACTGTTTCATCTATCGTTTTCTTTTCATTTCAGCGGAGGCATAAAGTTTTCAGACCTGAACGCTGAAGAAGGTAAGTTCACTTCGATTTTTCATCTTTTTACCACTCTCTAGCTTTAGCCCCGCCCGTTCGTTACGAATTCGCGTATCCGGTTCGATTTTGCTGCCGCACACTAGACCCCCATCTACCATGCGTTACCCGTGCTTTCCCATGGTGGTATCCGCAACATCGTACGCCTTGCCCCGACTTTACGACGCTGATAAAAAACGCTCGCAACAAGGCGTTTACGAGGCACTCGCGAGAAGGGAAACATTATTCCACTATGGAATTTATGCCCCGCGTCTTTTATTACGTCTACGTGTTCTACTCTTCGCGGACGAACACGGCAAACCAGCACATTCGCGACCGTTCCCGCGAAACTTTAGCCATAGGTAAGTTCCGTCGAACTTCTTTATTCGAAGCTTGATAAAGGCGAAGTAACTTAAACATACGCGTTATCGCACCCCGATAACCGCCAACTTCGCGTTTTCTCGCTTCAACGCGGTGAACATGAAATTTTACAACGCTTCTAGAGAAACGTTACGATGCAGGACACGTAATTGCCACAGTCTCGCGTAGAACAGGGTTTCTCAGTAGGAACTGTGCGACAAATTCTCGAGTCCACGCGAAGAAATTGGAGAAATCAGAGAGAAATGTTTTGTAAATTTACACTTTCGCCCAAAAGGGAATCATAGGTCAAAAAAGGTCGAGAAACCTCGATAGGATAGTGGCAGAGATATTCCATTCTAAAGTGCCCCTTACGACGAAGTTAATTAAAATTGTTTAAGAATTTTGCAACGCATCTCTATAAGCAGAACGTGGTTATCTTGCGATTATGTTAGATCGGGTACTCGAAGTTTGCCAAGAGATACTGTGTCATGGAAGTATCAATCACTGGTCCGTACATGTACTTCTCGTGCTCTCTCGTTTTATCCCTTACTGTCGCTCGGGTATAGATATTACTGCGAAAGAAAGACCCATTTTCAATGATAAACTCGAATTACCTGACTCGCCTAGTGCTACTCTCGTGATACTTGAGATATAATATTTTCGCAACGCGAAATTGCAAACGTAACGGAATTGTAGGTACATCCACGCTGATAGGATCCACGAGAAACGAAGTAACTAAGTAAAGACTGGTTTCCGGAACGATATCTCAAAACCAAATCGATAGAACGAAGCATCTCGAGAATCAGGGATTACAATTTTCCTAAATACGGGGCCAGAAACGGATAACAAAATATGAACGAAATGATTCGATTAACAGATAAGATCGAGCTATACGTAACTGGTAAATATCGAGAAAATCTCAGGTTCCGTAATGAGTAAAAGATTCTTCGAATAAGAGATGTCGGAGCGAATGATGGATCATTCGAGTAAGTCTCTTGCTTTTTTCGGCCTGAATTCGTCTCGTGTCCAATTACGTAACGTTACATCAGCTTGTGCCACTGGTTGCTTCGTCGTCGAGACTCTGTCGAATGCTTTAACGAACGAGAAACGATTTGGGCGTAGTAGCGCAGAAAAGGTGGCGTGGAAGAAGGGACAAGATTTCACGCGCGCATTAAAGTCAGAACAATCCGTGTAGTTAGTTGCGGGTGGGCTAAAGAAGAATGACCACTGTATAAGCATCGCTCGTTGATTGCGTAAAATCGAAACCGGCATGGTGCCAAGATTCTCGCGAAGCGGTGGACGCATCCCAGTCACAAGACGCGTCACAGCGTTTCGAAGTGATCAACTGACCAAGTATGAATGATATAACGACCCTGCACGTTACGCGACTTGGTAACCGAGAAATAGAAACCGGGGGGAAAAGAGAAATATGTCAGGAGATCGATCTCTGTCGAGAATTCGTTTGCCTGTGAACGATAAGGGAGGAGACCTGAAGTCTTCGAGGTTTAATTTGTTAGACCTAAGATACTTGTCATTGACCTAACCGAGGAAGTTTATCAGCGACAATGTAAAGCTATATATCATTAAGCAGGCGTATTTGATTATCCGTTACGTGCTAAGCATCGTTATCTCGACCGGTTGGCGGAACATAAATGCTTGAATCATATCGCGTTCGTATGAGTACGCAATGATTTTCGAAACACTGGCTTCCTATAGTTATTTCAATGACACGGTATCATCGCTCGATGCACAGTTACATTCTGGGTCGCGAGCTTTCCTTCGATAGGTCACTCCTGAAAAATAGACCTCTCCCCTTGCGGGCTATTCGTTATCCGACTAATCGTTCGCATCCAATTACATACAGTCGAGCGATCGCAGAACGTGCAGCTGATAAATTCAACGACCGCGATCTATACCCAACGCGTGTTTCTTTCAGACATTTCCCGTATAGCATTTGTTTTTTCCTCTCTTTTTTTCCTCTAAAAACCGCTCTCCATTGCATAATATACGAAATTACGTTATCGCAGTGATTTATAGGTTACGATTATTTTAACTAGCATTCGTAAAGACATATCTTATTATACCTCCTCCCGTGGAATTGTACCTGGCAGCTGTGCATACCTCGATATCTCAGTAATGTTGCACATTTGTTCGGAAATAACGAGAAAAAATAGCAGCTTTATCTCTTCTTTTTTCCCCCCCTTTTTTCCTCTCTTTCTACCTGTGTTTAACTACCCACTTTACCCATCGGTAACGCGCCACCTTATAACTCGATTGACAGTTATTTATCGTCTACCAGATAAATTCTCACGATTACCGTGGCTGGTCATCGATATTCATGCGGCTAAGTGCAGTAAAAATGTTTGTGAAACAAAATGACCGTTTGTGCACCACTTAACGGGAGTGTCTCGACTCACCTAGAAGCCTCGCTCGTTCTCGCGAATTTTCTATTCTATTTACACGTGCCACGAGATTAACCATAGGATAATAATACTACTCTCGAAGAATTATGTAACGCATAATCGGTAGCAGAGTTTCGTCAAAGCGGGTGCAACACGGAGCACGCGACTCTCGAAATTTACAATTCCTCGTTATTGTTATTTATCCAATGCATATACGCGTTTTCTTGTGAAACGTTGCCGTTCGTAATGTATCACCAGCGATTTCTTGCCAGATTCGTTGCTTCATCTTATATCAAATTGAAATACCAGTTTCATCGCTTTCAAAGCTTCCAACAGGTTCTCTTCGGCATGAAAGAGTCATCCGATGGTAACTAGCTGTAATCCACCGGCCGATGCCAAGTCTGTGGATGCAAATTCCAGTTAGAAAGTCGCATTCCAAATTATTCGTATTCCCCGTATACCGCGAAAAACGCACCTGTTTTTCTCTTACGCGCGTTCCCTTCGACCTGACTTACGCTTATGTAAAAGTACTTATCAGCTTTAATCCGTGGCCTTGAAACATCGCTACAAATCTGGCTTCCTGTGCGACAAGATCCTCCTTTTGGCTTCTTCCCTGAGTGGATACGTGTTCCGAATTGATGGCACCTGAAAACGTCGATTTTCGTTATCATCCGGTACGATTAATATCATTTATCGCGCTTAAAACGAAACGCTATCGATGCCACGGGTTTGAGTGTCTTTTTCCTCTTTTTCTTTTCTTACTTCCTTTTCTATTAATAGACGAAATTATACAGGCAATACAGCCTCGCGATGATTACGATTTAAGCAGTTACAATTTATCTCATTTCGCAGCTATCGATATGCGATACATAAGTTAATGTAGGTCAGTTGCGAAGACACGTATTCTATGTATTCCCGGATGCATCGGTAAGATATATCGTAATAAGTTTGTTATTAATACATCCATATTCAACGCCGGTTGCCATACGTGCACCATTTTCTGCCCACGCGCCAATTTTCTCTTATGACTTCGCGTGTCTGGGCAATTGCCTCCGGTTTTTTTCCTTCCATCCTCTTCTTTCTTTTATTTTCTTCGTCGAAACGACTCTCCTTGCACCTCGTGTTATTGCAATACAAGTACCTTGTATTATCAGAACGGCAAGGAGCAATTGGACGTAGGAAAATATTCGTCGAAGTCTTTTCGAGAAGCGTTGAGAACGTGCGGAACAAACTCGACGATTGTTCGCGAGTCTTTCGAACAAAAAGTCTCGAAGATTCTTCTCTCGAATGAAGATGAACATTGGAACAGGCGAGAGACGATTTAGAACTTATATTCGAACTTCATACGTACCGAAAACATGACGTGGAAAAGAAATAATGTTTCGAAGATACCACGCATCGAATGCATTACAATTGTGAGATGCGAGATACGCTGTCAGATTCTCATCTAAAACGCTTTGACAATCGAGATAGCAAAATGCAGTTCGATATAAAAATCAAACGGCAAAGAAAACGGTTGTATGATATTCATAACCTGTCGCGCCATATATGTGTATATCCGCTGCAAACACGATTTGATTATGCTTCGTCGATTTAAAATTGCAACAGAGCTATAGGTGATCTTACCAAGGCCGTACTGAGTGGAAGAATTAATAAGAACCGGTTACAATTATTAACAAATCTTCCGGTTATGACCGGTTATAACGATCAGTAAAAGCCTGTCGACCAGATGTGTCCGGAATTCCTGAGACTCTGCAGAAGTTTCTTGTGGCATACTGGCTTGTCGGACCATTTCGGTTGTCGCCCGATTTCACCCGACTTTTACCGATCCCGACTCGAACCCCAAATCTCGGGATTCCGCACTCCACTGTTGACGTTCGTTACTCGTTAATGTATATTCCATTATGTAGATTCCTTTATTTGCGACGCACTCAGAAAAATTACGTAAGAAGTTTTGCTAACTGCTAACGAAACCCATTTCAGAGAGATCTCAATTGACGATGCAATTATTCGTTGTAAACGACGCGGCGATTGTTCGACGCGAAGTTGTCTATTGTCGACAATAGAGGGTGATCGCATCGCGCACAAGCGAGCACGCGTTGAATTTCACGAAGGTTGCAAAATACCGGTAGAAGGAATTTTATCTTCTTCGAGCACTGAAAGACGATCGCTCAGATACGCTTCATGTGGCTTGCATATTCCTTCTTTTTTGCATTAAGCTGTATCCTCTGGCGTGCGACTTTGCTCCGCGAATTCAACTTTCGATCCATGACTCTGTTCCTTGGAAATTCTTTCAATTTATTCATTATTCCGTATATTCGTTTCGATCCACTCTATACAGGGTGTACTAGGATTTAACCATCAAACTTCGTCGGCATATTCTATGAGGGAAATAAGTGAAAAAAAATGTTAGGCGTACATAAAAACAGATAGCTTAAAGTTTTAGAATAAAGTTACGACAAAATTACGGAACACGAAGGAAACCATAAGGGACTTGCGGTCGTTGCGATATTAATAATCGAATAGATAAGCAACGTTTACATTTAATCTCTTTATGAAAGCTATGTCGTGTATGTATATTTATATACTATATATGTGTATTTCGTGTCAATATAAAATACATTGACGAAGTTTCGCGATTAAAACCTGAAATATCCTGTGTATTAGGTCGTGACTAATCGATTTTTTCGTTTCGCTTAAAGTTCAACGGTGTAGCAATTCAACGATCGATCGATAACCTAATCTGCAAAAGACGATTCATGTTGCAATAACGAAATGTTGGTAAATTCGATGCGCCCGATGAAAATTCGTGGAAAATCGATCGGTGTATCGGTGGTGCAAAAACTCGTTCAAAGAAACAAATTGCAAGGGGAATCGATAGGCATCGTGTCGCGTGGAGACGAGGCAGGCTCGCGTGCAGAATGCCAAGTAATTTCGATGACAAACGGTGGAACAAGACGGGTAGAAAACCGGGTAAATAATACTACGACGGATCGTTCTGAAACGATTTAATTAAACCGCGTAGAAGAGAGAAAAAGAAAAGCCGAAGGGCGTGGGGGAGGGTACATGACACAGAGGCTTATCGAACTGGAAGTGTCTTCAAGGTCGGTTGGTTCTAGCAAAGGGATCCGGGTCGCGTCCTTCGATTACGAAGTCCTCGCAGCGACATTACAGGAACAGGTCGAACAAAGGCGAAGCGAGGTGGCCGGAGATCTTGGAAGTTAACTCTGGTGAGGGTGAGTTTTAGAAGTCATCCTTAGTAAAGAAGACACAGACAAGAAAGGGACACTGTTTTTATCTTCACTACGAGAAAGATCACGATTACAGAGATTACCTGCTGAAAGACCACGAAGGTTATCTTTCCTTCCGATGCTCCTATCTTGTCGATAATTCTCCTCTTCGTCCTATCGCGTATGCACCCTCTTCCTCTTCGTGTTCGTGTGATTTTTGTTGCTCGGTATAGTCAGAGGAACAATTATCGATATACGATAATGCCGTATCTTCTTTTCGAAAGCGGTAATCTCTGTGCGTGATTTAACCCTGTCAAAAATAAAAGAGGCTCGTTATCCGATCGCTTTGCTAAAGCGACTCGTGTCGATCCCTGCTACTAGATACTCGCCAGTGCGACCGACCGAATCATGCCCATTGTGCCATACTTGATAAATTAGGTATAAGCATTTTTATGCTGCATTTCTGCACACTGCCAAGCATTACCTATCAAACGTCTGCTACCTCTCTATACATCTCTCGCGTTTCTGTGCGTACACGTACAGTATTCTTTAATCCTTACCGTTTTCAATCATATCCCATCGGGACTCACGAAGGATTCAAGAGAATAAATCTCGCAACATCGACGAGAGCTGATCATTACGGAGGAAGCTTGTACCTCTCGATTCTCCTTGCTCTTAATTCTGCCATCGACTTTCGGAGGCGCCGTAACCCGTTGCTGTAATAAATGTATGCAAAGCGTTCACGCTAGACGTTAGATGCTATTAATCGCACCTCAGAACACGTGGTACACTTACGATATCCATCGTCGTTCACCCGTGAAATCGTAAAGACGTTCCTGCGTGCCCCATTACTCGCAACGATCGTTCCTGTTCGTCGACATCGCAGAGCTCTCGGAGTCGAGGCGCATCCACACGGACCATGGTGGATGATCGGTGGTGCCGGAAAACGTTGAATCCGGTTACGGTTCGATAACTGAAACGTGAATCGACGGTCATTGAAAGCGATTATTTGGAGGCTGTCGAGGTCTCCAGACGATCGTTCCATTAATTGCAGTTTTTCTCACTTATACGATAACGAAGAGCATATCGTGACAGGAACTCGTACACATATATATACGATCCGGTTGGTCCGTGTGAAGCGATACGTCGTATCAACTGATGGCATAAAGAACGCGACCGAGTGTCTGGACGTTCGACTTTACACGCGAAATGTTTGTCTCTCTGCGAAGAATCTTACTCCGTCAAGACGTGGGCTGAAACATTTTTAAAAAATATAAAGACCACTATCGAAAATTAGAAGTTACTCGGACCCGCTTGACTTTGGGTCAAGATACGAAATCCAAGGAACACAAAAATAGAGATAACAGACCGCGAAACGTGTAAATGACCGGTCTTGGAGCGTTGAAAAGACCGGAGAGCCGGAGACATCCTGTTAACGAAGCAAGCTTCGATTTTCACGTTTCCTTGTCCCGATCATCGTATCAAACCCGATGCGACGGTTACACTTGATTCGTTTGCATTCACCATACAACGCGTTTGGAAGTATTCGAAAATCGATATGGATCACCGATCTATCGACGTTATTGTAATCGACTTCGAGCGATTATACAAGACCGTGATTTGTACTTCGTATTCGGTCGATCGTAATCGCTTTGCTTGTTAGCGCATTCATTGTCATGTGGATAAAATGATTTTAACGCGGAATGTACAGAGTGATTCCCTCGCTAGTGCACTCGAAAGACAGTACCACCGCATGAACATCGCCAATATCGCACCAGGGGATTTGTATCCTTATAGGTTAATCTGACGAATGTGTACAGCGACTGCATTTCTCTGCGTCTATGTGTGAGCTGCAAAGTTTGAAACGTAAAGGTTTTCCGAATGGGTGGTAGTGTCTTTGCTTCTACTAACGAACGAATCACCCTGTATAAAGTGTATGTAACATACCCTGTGTGTAATCTACACCCTGTGTAATATATCGGCCTCGCGTATAACATTTACTTCTTAACTCGTTGAAACGGTATGGGAAGAAAGATACTTGGAGGATTGAAATTCTTCTCAAAGCGATACGTCGTTCTAAAAAGATTTAAACGAATCATCGGGTTATACTTGTAACAGGATTACGTAAGTTCGTTAAAAAGTTACTATATACGTGATCGTCATCGCTTATCAACACAGCGTAAGCGGGGTAAACTTCACCTCTGAGAACTCTCCTTTTTGGCGGTATTTTTTATTCTTTGTTTAAGCGAAGTATTAATCGAGTGGAGTTCAGAAATACAACTTTTAATGACAGGAATCCATCTCTTCAAAAATTATGCCTGTTGAAAGATTGTAAAATTTTTTATTTCATTCCTTTACATTTATTATAATTAGATCTATTATAAATATTTCCTAACCTTTAAGCTGCACTACTCGACGTCATTGTTTTGCGTCCTATGGTGAGGTGTGTTCCCTCTCTACTATTCGTCACGTGACCTTTCACCATTTGACAAACGGAAAATGTATTATTTACTACGTTAGATAAAACACTTTATTAATTGTTAGAAAAACATATGGTTTCCTAATAGTATCTATTAGAAACGTCATTTTATCTATTCCATTGTGCAAAAAAATCTTCCTGTCGTTAAAAATGGTATCCCAGCAGTGAAGTTTAGCCGCGCGAATTAAACGTATGTCTAATTAATTCATTGCTTGCTATTACGCAAACAATTGCAAACGCGGGAAAAGACGTAGTTATGATCAGCCTGGTATTTTCGTATGTATAAGTTGAGATTCGTAGGATAAAGGAACTATCGAGAATAGCTTTACATTTTGTATATTAAACAGTTTGAAATTACACGTTATGTACTTTGATCTGTTACAGCATTCAAATTTCAAGAGAACCTTTTGCGCACGATGCTACAAATAGAAAATACGTTCTTCCAGCTAGGTGAAAGTTCTTCAAGAAATTGCCTTATTATTTGTGATCGCGGTGCCATGGATGCCTCTGCATGTGAGTAGATTATCGATATGCTTTTCCTTTATTCTCCGTAAATCAAAACCTGGTCTAATTTATTTTCTTTTTTAATTTAGTTATTTCGAAGGATAAGTGGGAACTGATGGCGGCTTCGAATGGATGGAACAACGTCGAGCTCCGAGACAATAGGTATAACCAGATTATCCACATGGTTTCAGCGGCGAACGGCGCCGAAGACTTTTATTCGACGGAAGATCACGCGTGTCGATCTGAAAGCGTCGATCTAGCCAGGGAACTCGATTACAAAGCAGCCGCCGCCTGGGTTGGGCATCCTTACTTCGATGTAATAGATAACTCGCAGGATTTTGAATCAAAGCTTTGTCGCATGATCGAATGCGTGTGCCAAAAGCTAGGTATCGATACCGGGGACAGATTGCAGTCGAGTAGTACAAAGGTTAAGTTCCTCATTAAAGGTCCTCTACCGATGGACTCCAAGTTTCCGCCGTTCCAAGACTTCGATGTCGTCCATAACTATCTCCAAAGTAGCAATCCAAAAATGCAAGCTCGTCTACGTAAACGTGGCCAAAAAGGTGTGCGGAACGATATAATTACTATGTGTAATCTTCACTATTAATTGATCTATATTGATAACATGAAATCATATGTAAATTTACATTGGCAGGTCACTGGTCTTACATTCATACGATTCGACGTCCAAAAATGTGCGGCCAGGTGATCGAAGTTAAAACACAATTGACTCATCGAGATTACTTAAACATGCTCGCTCAACGCGATGACTCGCATTTCACCATTTTTAAGCGGCGGCGTTGTTTTCTCATCAACAATCAATACTTTCAGTTAGATATATACAGAGAACCAGCTCATCCAAGGTGAGAGTTAGTTAATTTAAAAGCTATACGCATTGGTATAGCGAGGAAATTTTTTAATATGTAACGACCAATGTGACTAACATGATTATTTCAGGTGCCAAGGATTGATGCTACTCGAAACGTACACAGCATTATCGGGAGACGAGCTTAAGAACATATTACCACAGTTCCTGACAATCGAGAAAGAAGTCACTGGAAATCCAGATTACAGCATGTTCAATCTTAGTCTACGAGAAGAATGGAACAATACTAATAAATATTGTGAAAATTTATACGGTACGTATTGAATATTTTTTATCATTAAATCATGCATATATATTTAACTAATAGATTGCACATGTCTCCTTAATTACAAAAATGTGTGGAGGATGTCATTTGACTCGTTCATTTTTTTTGTTCTTGTTAACGATCTATCGTTTGAAACAATCCAACAGCAATTAGATACATCTTTTTTAACTGTACAGATTACGCTCTTAAAGGCTTGAAGGAATCTGGTTTGACAGAAAATAAAAGTACTTATCCACCAGAAACAAAAGATACATCGATTAAAAAACTAGTACACGGAGTTGATCGTAGAGTCAGTGGTATGGACATTGCTGTAAATAGTGTAGATAAAGTTGTAAATGGCGTACAAAATGGCGTCCACGATGCTACAAATGGCAACGTAAAATTCGTCAAACAAAATAGCGTACAAAGCAATAGTCAAGGGCGCGATAATGTTGCAAAATTTTGAATGATAATTCGAATAATAAAAATTTGTGAAAAGATGTGATAAGAACTGCTTTTGAAACGATATGAAAACAAAACGGTATGTAACAAATAAATGAAAGCTTAGAGACTAATTACTTGAGTAATTTCAAAAATAATTTATGGGCACTGACAAGTAACTCGATCTAAAATTTCTTAGGCAATATAAATATAATAATAAACTTACAAACTATGATACCTATTTTTTAATCAATCTTGCGTGCATATTTTGGGGGATACGCATGTGAAATATACTTAATAATTCGACTGTAACTTATTTTTTACCGATGTGTTTAGTAAGCGATATTAACAGATATATCAAGCATTTTTACATTTAAATCACTTCACTTTACTTTTTTGTGTTATGTTACCTAGAGTATTGTTATAACCCTTTATTTAAGAAAAATACTATAAATGAATATGATAAAAAATACACATAACACATAGCATACAAGATACTTATTGAGCTATGTAATATTTACGGTAAGATCAGCGTGAAATGTACTTTCCTTTAAACATTAACATTATCTTAATAATGTTAAAGTAATATTTACACTAACGTGAACAAGTTTAAATTTATAAATTGTATTGTAGAAAACGAAAAAAAGTTTCATCCCCGCTGTAGTAGTCCATACAGTAGTAAATATAAATTTTATAAGTAAATTAATTACTAGTGGTCTCTTATAAAATGCTGAGATCTAATATTTTACTTGTTTTTTTTAATAAATATATCGTCGAATATGGTTCAACCATTGCACTGTTTTACAGTATTGTCATAATTATGTATTATAGTCATGACAAGGTAATTGTCTAACATAATAGCACTTAACAGGTACTTTTAATAAAGGTTTAAGTTCAAAATACTTCGATTTATTAAAAATACTATTAGATTGAATAAATATATCAATTTCTGAATTTTTGTCTTTTATAAAAAAAAAACATTGATTTCAATTGATTATTATTTATGATACGCTTATTATTTAATGTACCAAGGAAAATTGTTTAATATAAATGTTTGGTAAATGTAAATTATGACGATTGTGTGTGTGTGTGTGTGTGTGTGTGTGTGTGTGTATGTATATATATATTATATAATGTGTGTATATGTATATATTTCGAGACGAAGTGCCTATGAGATGTTCAGTCGCGGAAGTGAAAAGAATGATATATAAATATATATTTTCAACGAAAGATACAATAATCAGTTACCATTGTACTTATACCATATATAATTGATCTAAATTTATATTGTACCCATGACTATCTAATAAAATGTCATGTGCCTATCGCTTTTTGTATATTTTATAATATTCCTTCATTTCTTCCTCTTTTTTAAAATTATTAATACAGACTAAATAATTTAGTATCGTATTATTTTCAAATGACACCATATAAGGATGAAATTTATGGTACAGCTAGGAGGAGAATAGAAACGATTAACTTCTTGGTCATTGCAATTTATTGCTATTTTACGAAAAAATTCTCTTGCATAAACTTATTACTATATAAAATAAGAAACAAAACTAATAAACTTATATAGATGCATGTTTTCTAATTCCATATAAGCCTTACTGGATTTAACAAATTTATATTTCTTTTCTTATATTCAATACATTACTGAAGTTAAATGAAATATGCAGTATATAGCAAGAAGACATGTTATATAATACAAACTGCAGAGCAAAATTTTACTGGTAAAAATACTGAAGTATACAAATCACGTGAAGAGGAAGCTACGTGATATTACACCGATAAAAACAGAATAATAAATACATAATATTTCCGTTTTTCATGTACAATTATATAAGCACTATTTTATGTCTTACAACATTATTTAAGAAGTAATGCATAATGGAAGCGTAATTGTTTTGTTTCTTTTCTTTTGGTATACCGTTGTTACAATTGTGTTATTATTAGTATCTAGATTAGATACTAGATTTAATAGCTTCATCAAGAAAAGGTATTAACAATATTGTACATAACTCACGTAATCCTTTCCTTACATACATCACTTATATAGATAATTTTTACTCTGTACATTAAACAGTATCTAAAAATTTTTATTAAAGCTGTAGTGACACTTTGTATAATATTTAGGTAGAACAGTTACTTCAAGCTACTTATAAATACTTCAGAATTCTGATACAGGAAAACTTTCAAATAGCTGTCTCTTCTCAATGAAAGAGAGACACATAGGTAATTAAATTACATAACAAAATGTAAATAGTAAGAAGACATGTTTCATTTTTCATGGACAAGTTAAGAATATCAAGTATAAATAGAAATATATTTATAAAACTATTTGCATGCAAGACATAATGAATTATGATCCACTTATACAGGTCCCTGGAAGTATTAATTATACAATTAAACTCTATTCTTTATATACATAACAAACAGTTTTTTTTCTTTTTTATAAATATTGAGTAGTATTTAAATAATCATGTAACTTTCAATTCATTTTGAAATAGGCATAACCTGCATGTGTCATACTTTTTGCAAAACTTTATTGGAAGCATGTATTTGTTTCATCTGTTTCTTTCTCTTTTTTTCTTTTTTCTTCCTTAATTTCTTGTTGATAATATGTTATAGAAATTATTGATCACTTTTACTGCTTTTTTGTTTACAAAGCATTTTATGCTTTTTGATTATCATTTTTATGCACTGCTCCAATCGATTCCACTTGTACGAATTCATTTGAGTTATAAAGCATGTAAATCAAATTATTTCCATTTCAGAGTAACTAGCTATATGTTAACATTATTTGTATACTTGACACAATTACATTTACCTACTAATAGCTTTAGTTTGTTGTGCTTTGTACATTTTTAAGACTTTCTTGCTAGGTATTAAAGACTGACTTAATCCTGGCCTTTTCTTGCGTCTATTCATTTGATTATTTTCTTGATCTATTTCATCATCATCATTAATGGAAACCTGACCATTATATTGGGTTTGACAAATAACTGTTTCCTGTGGTGTTCTAATTGCTTCTAATTCAGCTGCTGTACGATGTAAATCAGAGTCATGTGCAAAGGTACAATTATGACCAAACCTGCATCTACCTTTTCTATAATTCCAACAAATCTTTCTACCATTTATCATTTTTGTATCATCAAGAGTTGGAGTCATTTTCACATGTTTCTCAAGAATTGCACTCTTTGCTTTTTCTGCTTCAACAAATGGATTTGAGAAGACTGAAGTTTTCATCGTAGGTATGCCATTAAAATCTGGAGTGGGTAATGGAAGTTTTTCTTTGGAAGCTGTTTTACATATTTCATTGTTTTCATTATTTTCGTCCTCTTCATCATCCTCTTCTTCTTCATCCTTAAAACTAAGGGTTAGGCAATATCAGATTACAAAGAACAAATTCAATCTGACGTGTAAATACCAACTGTGACTTAATATGCTTACATTAATATAAAGGTAAAAATCACACTAATGCATAAAATAACAAATGAAAGTACATAAGAAAATAAATATAAAAGTGTAAAATATATTTATACATATTGCTTATTATAACAAAAACACGAGAAGAGAAAAATACTACAAAAGACTATAAAAAAATAATATTATATTAGTATTAAAGAAGATAAGATTTAAAAATGAGTAAATGTATATTTTTTAATTTTCATTTTGTGAATGCAGGCAGTAATACATAAAGTTATTTGTCTCATAAAAAGCATACACCTGTACGAAATACAATGTTAAAGATATAATGACATAATGATAATTCCTTTTGGAAATCAAAATTTATGAATATGAGGGGTTATACGAAAGAAGAAAACAAACAATAGAGAAACATGCTCGTGATGCTGAAAGCTTACATGTTATCGATACCATCCGAAATATCATCACCACTACTTTCTGAACTCGAGGAAGTTCCATAATCCGCAACTAAGGAAGCCATCGTTCTTACCAATTAATTAACAATATACTCTAACAAACACTAATCTAATATAACCATTATAAACAGTTATGCTCCTGTCCACATTCACAAAATATGGCAACGCTGCAAAGCTAACGTCACCGGAAGTTATTGACGACATTCTTGTATTTTTGAAATTAGCGGTAAACAAAGTTTACTACGTAAGTCTAAAATTCTATTAGATTATTTTTATCGAATCAATAATAAAATTTGAATAATTAAATACTAAAATAAAATCAATCTATTTTATTTATAATTATTTTTCATATATTATAGCAATCATTTATTGAATATTTGTTAATAATTTTATATACAGCATACAAAAATAGCTTACAAAAAATTGGATATTTATTTATGTGATCTGTAAAATTCTTTAAAAAATCAAAATAACAATAAATTTGCATCAATTTAATAGTATAAACATGACATATTTAAGAACATGCAACACCAGAATCATTTATAGTTAAAATACATGAAAGATTTGCTTCTAATTGGAAACTATTCCAAATTGAAATTTTTCTATTCTGAAGTTCCACTTTTTCTAATAACAATCGTGTATTAGGAACATGAGACCAATATTTTCCTAAAGTAGGAATTACATCACTGCACTTTTTATTTGAGCATGTGCTAGTTTCTTCTTCATTAACAGTAGTAGTCCATTGAGTAATTAAATTAACACTAATTATTGATAAACGAAATTCTTCTGCAATAAAGTGACATATATTTGCTAAATGATTTAGTGTAATTGTAGTTTTATGACTTTTAGAGTATTTAAAAATTATTGCTGGTAAAGAATCAATAATTACAATCCTCGTACGACATTCTTCACTTTCTTCTTTTAGAGCAACAGTTAACCAATGTAAAATTTTGAATAATTGATGTATATTATATACACAACATACCTTGATACGTTCCATAGTTTCACTTATAACCTAAAAATTGGTACAAAACTGTATTTTACTTACTTATTTTTTTAATTAGTTCTTATATGATTTGGATATGATTGGATATACATACAATATATATGTACATACCTGTTTACTACAATTTTTTTTTAATAAAATTTGTTCTATTCTTGAACCACAAAAATCTCTTTTTGTATCAATATATCGTACAAGATTATTAGGTTTAAGTGCAATGTTAGTTGCAATTGCAAAGCATAATTGTGTTTTTCCACTTGAAGATATACCACATATTTCATATATTTGACCATAATATAAACCACCTTTTAATAAATTATCTAAACTAATGAATTAAATTTAATATTAATTTCTCAATTTTACACACATAAATACTGTTTATATTTAATATGCATATATACCTTGATAAATTAGTAGGTACTATATTATTTTGTTCTATTTCAAATAAATGAAAAGCATTTTTTACTGTAGTTCCATACTTTTTTAGAATATTTTGTTTGATTTCAAGTATGTCCTATAAATTTAACCTTAAAATTAATATTTTGCAAAGCTTATTATTTATATGATAATATTATTTATTCTAAAGTATTCATTCTAAGTATTTCCTTGACAATTAACTTGTACATATACCTTTAACGATAATCCTGTAAAAGTCGCCAATTTTTCATTATCTTCATCTATAAATTGTATAACAGTAGAAATATGTTTGCGTTGTAATTGCTCTATCATAATACTCGAAAATTTCGAATCTACGACCGTACTTAATGTTGTCATATTTAAAACAGTTAATACTTCAGTTACCATTCATTAATTCTATACATTATATTTTAAACACATTACTTTCGTATCTATTACCTTTAAAATCAATTGTAGCATACAACTGAAATTAACAGACTTCCGGTAGAATAAAACTAACATTTATATTACATTTATTTAAATTTATATATTAAACATAATTAATTGTTATAAAAACATAATATAATTTTAAAATATTCACATAAAAATTTATAATACTTAGAAATAATTCAAAAGAATCTTTATATTTTCGTCATTCATTTTCAGCAGAAATTTCGAATCATTATCGCGTATACTACGTAGATCAATGTAAATGTAATAGTGGTATCCAAAAGATGATGCGCCGAGTACCGAAATGACCTCAGCGTCATTCTTACGATTGTACGTATCACACGCGGGCACCTCGTTGAGAATAGTAGAATCAATTAGAATAAAGGAAACGTGTTATAAACTTAAAAATATTAAATTTCACTTATTATTTGATTATGATTTATGTACAATCTATTATAAATACCATTATGGTCTTCTCTATAAAAATTTATTGGAACTTTATCATTGCGTTTAAAAATGTGTTTAGCATACGTTGTCTCGTAAGAAGTTGCGCATGCATTCAGTACATGAATACATATTTCTGCGGAATTGGTTAAAAAACACTCATATTCACTAGTATAAATGGCAACAAAATGAAGATCAACGAGAAAGTAAGTAAAAATTTCTTTCCATTCTTAACTGGCTTTCAAGTTATGAATGTTAATATTATAATGGTTATGAATGGCACGTGGTATGTTCAAGCGTATATAGCGCGGCAACCATGTTGCGCTTAGTATGAAATTTGATGAGAATTTAGAAAGTGCCTTATTATTATAATAAATCTATTTTGTGAATAATATTTATAAAAGTTAATTTGTTTAAAATAAATGACATCACTAAAAAGTAACTTTATTATTGAACATAAATATGAAATTTAATTATTTTTAAAAAATATTGAAATGTGTATGTAATATTTTCCTTTATAAATAATAACTATAATAATCATAATGAAACGAATCTATAAAAAAAGTAAAGAAGAAATTATATGAATGCATTAGAAGACGAATGAACTACATGAGGATAGCAAAATGTGAGCAAAAGAGAAAATGTTTAAGAAAATATAGAACTGAACAATTCTACATTTACATACAATTTGATGCTAATTTATTTGTATTATAAATTGAAACGAAATATTTGTATAACGGCTTTCTATGCAATGCCAGGAATGTAATATGATGTAATACTGCATGTAATGTATGTCCATATTTGTCGATCGCATATATAATTGTATAAAATATGATCAAATAATAATGATCATTTACTGTTATAACAGTTTTTAATTTCCATATCCTAAACTTTATGAAAGTATCTATTTCGCGAATAACTTAAAAAAGAAAAAAAATTGATCATTTTACAAATAATCTGAACAAATTACTTGATTAATTTCGATAAAAGACTTTTATAGCATCAATATTTATCACGAAGTAATAAACTATTATTTTTTTGTTAACAATTTTCATATATATAGTAATGAATATAGTAGTAAATTTTATAGAATGTATATTTTACATTTAGAAATAATAGTTGCTGATTTGATTTGTTAGTCGGAAAACGAGTCCTTTTAATATTTTTACCAGTAACCAATTGGGAACGTTTGATACTGCCACGTTGCCAAGTATCCGGTTGCATTCGACCAATCGCAGATTCAGCGCCCAGTTGGAGCGGCATCTCTCTGTAGCTTGTGTAAACGTGAAGTAGCAAGCAGCTCACAGTCTGGTCGCGGTCGAAATTTGTCGGGAGCCGTCGCCATGTTTAGAAGTGTGTGCGTCCTTGAGCGAGTCGAGCGAAAATGTTCTGTAAAATATTAGATATAGCTCATGCACTGTACATTACGTGAAGTACCTAATTACAATTTAACGCTCGTCGATCACGGGTGTAACAATTATTTTCGTGGATGGCTCACCTACGTTGCAGAATTTTGTGATTACAGTATGGTAAGTCCGCCCTCCTATCAGACCAACGCCAACATGGCGGACGAAAAATTTCCTTTGTATCGCCGCGAGGCTCCACTGACGCAATTGTGAAAAATGTATTCTTTTAGAAAGCGATTTAGTCTAAAAGATCAGGAAAATTGTTTTTACTATTAAAAAAACTTAAATAATAGACTGGTGCGACGATTATTGTTATTGTATTAAGATAAATTGACATTTTTCTAATAAGAAGACTTGAACGCCCTGATTGCTTGATATATTGGACGTTTGCGTATTCGTTGCAATCTTTTGATATTCTAAATGACATCGCTCATTTCACTAGTCAATTGATTGTAGATGTGTTCTTACTGTTCATAATGCTGTATTTTTGGGGGTATTTTTTCTTCTGCGCAATACGCATGTTTTACAAATTCCAATGTGGTGTATCAGTTGGATCAACGGAGAAATTTTGATTTCGGCGCTTTTTTCACAAATCAATTAGCGTTCTCATTTTGATTCATTGGAATTACCGTAGTTAGAATAAGATTGAAATGTACATATTCAAATTAAAATTCAATAACAAATTATTCACATACTTCAATTGAAAATAAACTATTATTAGTAAACTGTGAAGATTTTGTTTGTTGTTTCTTATACATGTTTTTCTTCAATTATCGATTTCATGCGTTTATTTTTTTAGTGTGAAGTAAATATGCAATTGGCAAGAAAATATCCCTTTTAATATAATGTTGTAAAATTTACAACTTACATTTATTATTTAGTTCTCTCAGTTTTTGATTTTTCTTTTTGTTTGTTTTTCCTACTTTTCTTCTTTTATTAGTCTGATCTGGATGTAAACATACAGGTTTTAAAAAAATGTTGTTGATAAACTTAAAGTACAAAGATTAAAACATGTAGTTTTTGCTATAGTATTACCAAGATACTTAAAAGATTGATAAATATTTAATAAAATTATTTTTATCATAAAATGTAAATATTGATATTTAATGTTTTTTTTTAATATTGTTATAAAAGCATTAATTTAATAATGTATTTAGATTGTGTAAATTCACAATAATTACTTGAAGTTATGTTATAGTACAAATTAAATTAATATATTAATTGAAAATTTATTAACAATCTTTTTTAATTTTAATATAATGTGCTTTTATGTACTTATATTCTTGTACATGTTATCAATCTTTTAACAAAATGTGATATATTAGTTTTATTTTTTTATCTTTTTTTATTACAATTTTTATTGTTATTATTATTACTACTATTTTAGTAATTATTATTACTATCACTATTATCACCATCATCAAGAAGCTGAAGAGAATTTTATTAAATTTTGATAATATTTATTATTAACTCATGTTACAGTGTAATGTGTAATGAGTGATAAGCAGACTGCACCTATTTTACCGCCCCTTAATGGGGGTGGAGGAAATAATGGAAGTAACAATGGAGGTGCACCACAACAAACTGTTAATTTACAACAAGTTCTTGCTACTGCTCAAGGACTTAATGTCCTTACAACAGGTGCTGGGCAACAATTTGTTATTACTTCACAGGTTCCTGGTCTCACACAGGTGCATATTTTTCAGTGTATTTTTATTTTTATAAACTTCCTTATATCTAGTGAGGTTTTAAATAATTTATATTTAAAATAATTCCAGGTTATACCAAGTAGTGCAACAACAAATGCAAATATTCAGCAAGTTGGTGTTACAAGAATTGTTAATATTAGTAGTACACCACCACGTGCAAGTAGTATGGGAGTTGCAGGTGCAAGTAATTCACCTCTTACATCTCCTACTCGGCAGGGTTCACCTAAAGTTGTTTTAGCAACATCTCCAAAACTTGTTCGAACATCTATTGGAAATATGTTTGTTACACCAACCTCTCAAACTACTATGCAATCACCACCTGCAAGAAAAAAATTGAAGTTAACAGAGTCTACTGAGAAACCTACTATGATTGCAGATGATGCAATGGGTTATAGAAGGAGAATTATGGAACATAAAATGAAAAGAATGCGTGCAATAAGAGAAAAATATGCTGAGAATGCATCAGAATTATTCTTTCTTCATGCTGGAGGAAATATGATGGATTTTCAAACTTGGAGGAAGAGGCCCCCAACACCTCAATATTTGCATTTTTTACGACAGCATAGATTAGATCCAGATGATGATGATGAAGATTTAACAGCTCCACTGCCAGCAATATCAGAAATTCCATTAACACCAACTGCAACAACTGTTTCTACAATAGTTCCTGTGAATCAGTGTACAGAAGTAAAAATTACTGGAATGAATGTTGCTCCAGTTGCAGTATCTACAACATTGCCTGCTGCAGTAGCCCAACTTAATCAACAAGGTAATGATATTGTTATTATACATATGTTTTTAATTAATTTATTGAGTTGAATCACATTATGGTAGTTTTATAATATTTTAATAAAATAACATTTTATACTTAACACCAATCATTTTTCTTGGAATATTAGAAGGCACACCATTATATTTATTTCTATAAACACATAAAAATTATAAAATAAAAACATTTCTATTTATATGTAGTAATATATTAAACTTCTAAAATTTATAAACATATTTTGCTATGTTTCGTGCAAATAATTTCCTGTTTGATAGATATTTGTTTGACAATATGGAAAAGCAATTAAGAGTTTTATTGTATATCTTACAACAATCAAATAATTACTTTGCATAATAGGACATGTACCAGGTAGGCCTCAAGGGGGCCGCCATGGCATGGTGTTTGCCTTCAGAGCAGCAATTCAGTCTTCACCAGTCACCGTTCACCCTCCACCTACTTCTACTCTAGCACCCACGCTCATTATAGGTGATTACTGCAGGCTTATCATTTGATGTTAGATTCGTTAATTCTTTTCTTTTTCAAAATAATTTTTATTTATGGGATGAAATTTTGATGAATTCCTTAAATTTATTTTTTAAATTCGCTGCTTTTTAGTATATTTAGTTTTGGATATAGTTTCTGTCTAATGTCTTTTGTATGTTGGATCAAGGTAAAAAATTTAAGTTTGAATAAGCAATTAATTAAAAGTTATTTTCACTTAATTGATTAATTGCATCAAATATTATTTTGCACTATTAATAAAAAAAATTATTATAAACCAAATTAAATAAACATGATATGGTGAGCACTTTTTGTAATCAAATAGTATTGCATGTGCTTTAAAGTCTAAGAAATATGTCTCCTTAAAAGGAATAACGTAAGAATTTTTTCACAGTTCTCATAATATTTTGTTTCTTTCTCTCTGTCTCTATTTTTTTTATTGTAATCATACACTTTCATAGTTCATTTTCATAGTAACTATATTTTTTATTTTTGACAAATTGATTTTTATATATTCTACTTTTATGTTTATCATCATTTGTGTATCAGAATAGTATGATATTTTTTGTTATTGTAGAATATAATTCCACACTAGACGGTTGATTCAAATTTATACATTTTTGAAGCAGTTCACTTTGTGTGGAAAAATTAATTCACAGCACATGTAAGGTTGTTTAGCAGTATGCTTCTCAGTCTAAGAGCGCTGTTGATATATGCATACTATTTAAAAAAATATTTTTTAGTATATTTGTTCATATATTGAATCATTTTATTACTGTTACAGGTAATGCACCAATAGTTCCAGGTTCACCAAAATCTGTAACAACAACTGTTACAAGTCCAGTAATAGATAAACCTACAGTAGCTACATCTATTACAACAACTATTACTACCATGACTACCCCTACTCTTACATTTACTGCAACTACTTCCACTACTGCTACTGTTACTACTACTACAAAGACATCTTCCGCGCCTACAACACCTACACAGCCTGTTATTAAATTTGTTAAGTTACCTGCTTCTAATGCAGCTACATCATGTGATATCACAAATAATCAAGAGCAAATTGTAGAAAAAGCAAAACAGGTACTATAATTTTTGTATAATTATGTGTTCTATGTAATATTTGATAAGTTAGTGTAATCAAATCCAATACTTAAAATATTTGTAGGAAGCATATGTTATGCAAAGGATTGCGGAATTACAACGTGAAGGTTTATGGTCAGAAAGAAGATTGCCTAAGGTACAGGAACCACCTCGTACAAAAGCTCATTGGGACTATTTATTAGAAGAAATGGTTTGGTTAGCCGCTGACTTTGCTCAAGAACGAAAGTGGAAGAAAGCTGCAGCGAAAAAATGTGCGCGTATGGTACAGAAATATTTCCAGGAGAAAGCAATTCAAGCACAAAAGGCTGAAAAATCGCAAGAACTTAGGTTAAAGAAAATTGCTAGCTTTATTGCTAAAGAAATCAAAACTTTCTGGGCAAATGTTGAAAAGGTGAGTTACAGAAAACAATTTATAAATTATAGTAATAATAATTTTACCCCACACTATTAAGCCGACAATTTCAATGTATTTCAATTGAAAGTGTGTGCTCGTTGTGGGAACAGTAAAGTCTGCTCATTGTGTATGATTATTTTTGTTATTACATTATAATCAAAGTATTGATGCCGGACATTTATTTTCATAATGATTAAAGTATCGTTTTCATCACGATGAAATTTATTTGTATATTTTATTCTTAATGTTATCTTTTTTAAGTTGGTGGAATATAAGCAACAAACGAGGCTTGAAGAAAAAAGAAAGCAAGCACTAGATCAACACTTAAACTTTATTGTGGGGCAAACAGAAAAATATTCAACATGGTTAACTGAAGGACTTAACAAAACGGATGGTTCTCAAAGTATACCAGCTTCTATGAATAGTTCACGAATTTCTTCTCCAGTACCACCTGGCAAATCTCATTCTGATGGTATATTAAATATATTTATCGATTTTATATTTATATTTATGTCAATTATTTTAATATTTTTAATTTTTCCAATATAGAGGATTTTCAACCAAACCAAAGTTCAGACGATGATGAAGAAACTATAGCAAAAGCCGAGGAAGAATTAAAATCTGTGACAAATCATAAAGAAGAGGTTGAATTGTTGAAAATGGAATCAGAATTACCTTTAGAAGATCTCTTAAAAGAGCTACCACCTAATTACTTAGAAAATAGAAGTAAAAGTTTGTCACCTGCATCAAAGGAAGTGGAAGAAGTATGTAAAATATTTTTAGGTCAAAAATTTTAGTGCCATTTATTCTATTTTGATAACTAATTAGTGATGTGCATACTTTAATAGGTGGACAAAAAGACAGATGGTGATATGGATTTTGTTGCTGCATCGGATGAATCTTCAGATGAGGAAGAAACTATTATGGAACAAGAAAAATTGGAAGAAAATGCAGATTATAAACAAGAATTAGATGATCTTAAAGTATGTATATATTTTTATAACTCTTATAGTATTAGGCATAATGAATTTTCCATTTTTTTAAATTTTTAGGCTGAAAATGAAATGTCTATTGATGATCTTATGACCAAATATGGTAATATGCCAGATATATCAATGGATGTTGAACAAGAACCTGTTCCTGGTAAATATAATTTAGGTTAATTTTAATCCTACAATATTTATATATTAGTGATGATATTTTACCGACCCTGATGGTTCAAGAAATGGTTTTCATTCTTGAATCTCATTTTTGATGTGACTTGAGGCATTTGTCTGAATATTAAAAGTAATTATAATAACTTATTTAGTATGAAAATGTGTATTGTATATATGCGTATCTATTTGTTTAGAATCAGACAAGGAAAGCACAAAAGAAGAAGGTCAAGAAAATGATGAGGAATGTTCAAGTAACGAAAGTGAAAGTGAAGAAAGTGATAATGAAGTTAGAGAAGAGGAGTCTCAAACACAAACTGATAATGAAACCGATATTGGGCTCAAATCTCTCTTAGAAGATATATCCATGGAAAAATCATCAGATGATAAGGTAAAATGATGTTCTTGAATGATAGCATAATTAATTTTTATTTGGATAAAGACTATGATTATTTTTTTATAGACTGCAGAGATGAATCATTCAGATGCTCACGATGAAATGGATAACGTAGCGGCATTAGCAGAAAGTATTCAACCTAAAGGGAATACTTTACTTACTACTAGTGTATGTTATTGTAATCTTTTCATATTATTTTTTGGGAGGTGTGAGGGTGTTTTAATTATTTAGACAGCCATCCTATCCAAGGTTGTGTAGCGGTAATTTGCATATGACCATTTCCGGAAGGCTAAAGTATAAGTGATAATATTCCCAGAAAAGTAAATTAATTTATCGATTTATCTTAGAAAATTGTCACGACAATATTTATTTATTATATAAGATGAAACAAAGTTATTTATGATTCTCTAACGAAATTAATATAATTTTAGGTTGTAACAAAAATTCCATTTCTTTTAAAACATCATCTTCGAGAATATCAACACATAGGATTGGATTGGCTTGTTACCATGTACGACAGGAAATTAAATGGTATTTTGGCAGATGAAATGGGTTTGGGTAAAACCATACAAACCATTGCCTTACTTGCACATTTGGCATGTGAAAAGGGTAATTGGGGTCCGCATCTTGTAATAGTACCAACATCTGTGATGCTCAATTGGGAAATGGAATGTAAAAAATGGTGTCCAGGATTTAAGATTTTAACTTATTATGGAACACAGAAGGAAAGGAAACAAAAAAGGACAGGTATTAATTTGTTATTAAGCAAATGTAAATGAATGTAACATTGTTTATAATATTTTTATTTATTCTTAGGTTGGACTAAACCTAACGCTTTTCACATTTGTATAACATCGTACAAATTGGTTATACAAGATCATCAAAGCTTTAGAAGAAAAAAATGGAAATATCTTATATTAGATGAAGCTCAAAATATAAAAAATTTTAAATCACAGAGATGGCAATTATTACTAAATTTTCAAACTCAACGGTAAATATCTACAATATTTTTTACAAATAATGTATTTTATATGCATAAAATAATACAATATTTTATATAAAATGAATTTACAAAATTTAAAAATAATAAGATAATAAGATATTTTATATAATTTTTATTACAGGCGATTATTACTTACTGGTACACCACTCCAGAATAACTTGATGGAATTATGGTCATTGATGCATTTTTTAATGCCAAATGTATTTCAGTCACATAGAGAATTTAAGGAATGGTTTAGTAATCCTGTTACAGGAATGATAGAAGGAAATAGCGAATATAATGAAAACATTATCCGTCGTCTACATAAGGTCTGTACGTAGTTTCCTTTTATGTACATTGTTTCACATACACAATTATTCGCTACCGACACAGATAGATGATTATATATATCATATACCTGTTTTAAAATAGCGAAATATTAAAAGAATTCTCTATTAAAACTCGCGTGTAATAAAATATTTATGTGACATACGAATCCTGTCTAGAGAAACACTTTATTATAACAATCTTTATTACGTCATTGTCTTTTATTTTCCAGGAACTTTTCTATATTACGTATGTATTATTCATGTAGCAATTATGTTGTTTATAGGTTTTACGGCCTTTTTTATTACGAAGATTGAAAACAGAAGTAGAAAAACAATTACCTAAGAAATATGAACATGTTGTTATGTGCCGTTTATCAAAACGACAGCGTTATCTATATGATGATTTTATGTCTAGAGCAAAGTATGTATTGCATATTTTATATTTTCTTGTACTATATGTTGTACGATTTATATAATATATAATTTATTTTTTCATTAAGGACAAAAGAGACCTTGGCCAGTGGTAATTTGTTAAGTGTCATTAACGTATTAATGCAACTACGGAAAGTATGTAATCACCCAAATTTATTTGAAGTGAGACCTACTGTATCACCATTTCAAATGGAAGCTATTGAATATGTTACTGCTTCTTTAATATGGGGTGCTCTTGATTACGATCCGTTTAAGGTAAATAGTTTAATTTCTTTTTCCCTAATCTTCATTATATTTTAAGAAATTTTAGGAAAGGTATAATATATTTGTTTTATTTTACAGCATATCGATCTATCTAGTATTAATCTTTTATTATGTGATTTGGAGTTAACTCTTACTGCGTTTGTGGCACACAGAGACAGACGATTGCAAACACCACGAAAGCTTATAGAAGAAATAGACACACAACCAGATCCACCTCCAAGGTGTCCACCAGGAAAAATTAAAATTAATGTTAGATTATCTAATCAAGTTAAACCGTCATCCGTTCAACGACAGACACAAACAAAATTAAAGAATTTAGCTGGAATATTGCCAACACCAAAGGTTGGGACATCTCCTTTAATAAAAACAGCAAATAATCAAAGCACTCCAGGTCAAGGTAAGAGTGACATTACAAGCATTTATTGTCATATTTAGTATTTTTTTAATATTAGGAATTAATGTTCTCTCTGATCTTATAAATTCATAGGTGTTACATTAAAGGTAGCTGGTGGTCAACAGTTGCAAGGATATTCTGTACAATTAGTTCAACGTCAGGGTAGTGTAAAAGGTGAGGAGTTGTCTTTTGTGTGTTCTTAATGTGTATATGTACATTTACTTCCAAAACTTGGGACCCTGTGCATCATCGATCAGTGGTTGCACTCAACTTGTCGCTGTGTAATCATTTTTGCAGTGGTGCTAGAGGAATTGGTCTCGGGCCAGCTTGTTTATAGTTTCCCCATGTTATAAGCATTCTAGAACCGAGAGCACATTAACAAAACTTACATTTAATTATAATCTAACATTTGTGAATCATAGTTTGTGTAAAACATTTGTTGTGTTTGCTTCGAAAATAGCAATCCCTGTTGGAACACTAGCACATAACCCACAAAGTACAACAGTGACACCATCTACAGCAGCAACGAATGCACAGAGGATTACAGTAGGGAATGCAAATATTATAGATGGACTGCAACGACTAGCAACGCAAACAGTCGCTGTTAAACAAGGTGATTCCGTCCAAAGAATAGCAATGCCTAATCTTGCACAGGTGGTTCAAACATCTATTGGTAGACATATCATTCTGACTTCGAATCAACAAAACACTAACACAGGTTTGTCCGAAGAGTGCTCATATCCCACTGATTTCATTTATGTTCCATGTTAAAACAATGTGAACCATGTATATCCTTTTTCATATCATTTGTATGCATTTAAATGAATGTTAAAGAATAATACAAAATGCATGATTCTAAATAGTACATTCGATGTATTAATGCCTATTAATGTATTAATAGGCACAATTTCTAGTACAGTATTATACTAGTGCATATAATTTCTAATTGAAGACAAGATTGATATATTCTCTAGAGCTTATTTAGGTTTGTCCATAAGTGATTAATATTTTCTTGTACTTACAGTTTCATTTCCAGTAATGACACCGTGTGTACAACGTTTGAAAGTTTTACCGAAATCTTTAATGGGCCTATCTACCTCGGCAACTACAGTAAATAAAGTTATTGGAGGGGTAGTGACAACTACAAGTGGAACAAGTGGAAGACCAGTAATGAGGGTGCCACCGCTTAATGTTACTGCTTCCCCTAATGTTACTGCACAGTCTCCTACTGGCAATGGACAATCTCAACAGCAATCGATTCGTTGTGGTATTGTTACTAGACACGCACAAAAAGAATCAGAGAAGGCACAAACGAAAGAACGACCAAAATCAGAATTTTATTTGGTATATATCTTGTTTAAATAAAATATTTAATATTACAGGAAGTCAAAAATTATAAATTTAAAATGTAATATTTTGTTTATAGCCACAATTAGAAGAAGAACGAAAACAAAGAAGGCAAGCTAAACTTCGTCTACTTGCAAATATTAATGAAAGACGGTGTGCCGCGTGCCCTCTGTACGGAGAAGATTTGTTTATGGCATTAAGAATTGGTAAACCATCTACAGCATGTCGATGGCATAATGGTTGGATTCACTGTGCAACTGCTAAAGACAATGCACGTACACGAAGGCAATTTTTTTCTCGCACAGAAGCACTTGCAGAGGCGATCAAAAGTACAGAACAAATTGTTGAGGAGCTTAAAGAAGTTTTTGAAAGGTACTGTTTATAGGCGAGATAAAATTTAATATTCAATAACTTTAAATAAATCAATGTTTGATCACTTGTCCAATGTAATACATAATTGCTAAATACTAGGTTTGTTGTACACGTTCCTGCTGTATGTGCTCCTACGCCACGTTTTCACGTTTCTCATCCTCCTCCACATAAGTTGTTCGGTCAACGACGTATGCAAATAGAATTACAACGTCAACTGTCGCCAAAATTGGCATTGTTCCATCCAGTAGCTAGTGCAATGATGACGCAATTCCCGGATCCTAGATTGATACAGTACGACTGTGGAAAATTGCAATCTTTACATCAACTTCTTAGAAAGCTTAAATCTGAAAACCACAGAGTCTTAATTTTTACGCAAATGACAAGAATGTTGGATGTATTAGAAGCCTTTCTTAATTTTCATGGACACATATATTTGCGTTTGGATGGTACTACTAAAGTAGATCAACGACAGGTGATTAATTTTCCTAAACATTGATATATTTCTCTTGTTTTCTTCAAATATGTTTTATTTGATGAAAAAAATTACAGGTACTGATGGAAAGATTTAATGGAGATAAACGGATATTTTGTTTTATATTGTCGACGAGATCCGGAGGTGTAGGTGTGAATCTTACAGGAGCAGACACTGTTATATTTTATGATAGTGATTGGAATCCTACAATGGATGCCCAAGCACAAGACAGATGTCATAGAATAGGTCAAACACGCGATGTACATATCTACAGGTATGTATAAAAATTTAGTATATGCATTTTTTTATATTTAGAAATATATTAAATTATTTTTTACATATTTTAGGTTAGTAAGTGAAAAAACTGTAGAAGAAAATATTCTCAAGAAGGCCAATCAGAAGAGACTACTTGGAGATTTAGCTATCGAGGGTGGTAATTTTACAACTGCTTATTTCAAGAGTGTAAGTATTTCAAATATATAAAGTAAAAGAAGATACATGATATTTTATGGTTTTAATTATTTTTGTAGTCCACGATTCAAGATCTCTTTAATATTGATCAATCGGAGAACGATGCTACCACTCGAATGGCTGAAGTATTAGAACAAAATAGGGATCGAGAGAAATATTTGCAAAAAGATAGTCAAAGTCAAACTTTGGAGGATAAAGTAGCAATGGGTGCGCTTGAAAGCGCTCTTGCTGCAGCTGAAGAGGATCTTGATGTTCAAGCTGCAAAGACTGCTAAAGCAGAAGCTGTTGCGGATTTGGCAGAATTTGATGAAAATATACCTTTAGATGATGCAGATAGGGATGACATGCAAGTCAGCAAAGCTGAGCTTGAAGTACAAAATTTGGTATCTCAGGTAAGATGATGTTTGCATTTATTTTTACAGTATATATATATTTCTTCATTTTCTCAATTTTTTTTTCTTGTCAAAACTTCATGTATGATGAGGTATTTGTTAAAATTTGCTTTTTTCTGTATATAGTTGACACCAATAGAACGTTACGCAATGAAGTTTGTCGAGGAATCGGAAGGTGCATTTTCTGCGGCACAACTTGCTGCAGCAGAACGTGAACTCGAAGAACAGAAGAAAGAATGGGAGTTAGATCGGTTGCGAGCGCTACGCGAGGAAGAAGAAAGGCGAATGCGGTTGGCTGATGATGACGAGAAGCCCTTGACGTTTGGACGCGAGGATGCGCAAAATCAGGTTAATAGTGCTAGTAATTCTAAGAAATTAGTCAATAAGAAACTCCCACCGAATAGGAGGAGGAATTCGCGTAAGAATATTAGTAAAAGTGCTCAAGAATCGGAAAGTGAAACCGAGACCACTACAGAATCAGAATCAGAGTCACAAGAAGATGTGGTAGAAGATAGTCTTGACGAAGAGTCGAGTCATACGGAGAGTCAGAGTCAAGGCGATGAAGATGAGGAGGAGGAAACACATGATCAAAATGATTCTGAAAAAGGCGGATATCCAAAACGTAAAAATCGTTCTAATAAATCATTTAGTCAAAATCATTTCGATCTAAACAGTCCACGAACAAGATCTAGAGGCAACGTTAAAATTAATTTATGGACATTGGACGTAAGTCCTATCTTGCCTGGTATAAAACCAAAATGTCGAGGTAGAGCTAGTAATCTACGTAAACAACGTGAACTTGAAATGAGAATGAAAGCAGAAGAAAATTTTGTTTTACCATTGCCACCTGTTACAAGTCCCAAAAAATTAAATAATACAAATGTTTCGAATAAACCTGACGAAGAGGATAGAACTGCAAATCAAAAAGAGATGACAACACCCGATTTAAAGCGACTCGACACTGAACGAAGTACCGTTTCGTTTGCTAAAGAATCATCTGAGAACATGGAAGATTGTAAAGTGATTGCAAATCATTGTAATGCTGCAACTTCTTCGCCAAAGCCGAAATATAATAAAACTGTCACGATACAAGAATCTAATTCTCATATGCCTTTAGATTCATTAGAAACAGAAATGTCTTCTCAATCAGGTAATTTGTCTGGTATGTCGGAACCGTGTAAAGAATCAGAAGATAGTGTAATTGATGATAAAGTCTGTAGTGATATAACACAGGACTTAATTCAGAACACCTCGTCTTCGGTATATATTACACGATCTATGTACAAATTAACAGCACATTCTAGTAATTCAGAAGGTGATGCAAGTTATAATTATGATTCTGAAAATTCTAATGTTGATTTTATTTCACAGAGTAGTAATTCTTCATCTGCAACAGAATCAAGTGCTGCAAAAAGAATCTCTGATTCAAAATGTTTGGAAAGTTCAATGACTTTGGAGATAGATGAAGAAATCAATGTATCAGAAAATTCGTTGATTACACCTTTAAAGAATAAGGTGATTGTTCAAGATGTAGATGAAAGTATCATTGATTCTACTGCAGAAAAATTAAATGATTCTGTTTTTAAGAACGATGTAACTTCGTCTAATATCGACGAAGCAGATACGCCATTAAAAGAGGAAGTATTCATTTCGAAGACGGAATCGAAATCGTTAGATAGTAAAGATGTAGATGAATTTCAAGACACAAGTGTTTCCGGTGATGAATGTAGTGCAAAAAACTACGCGGGAGCGCAGAGTCTCATTGAGATGAAAGAAAATGTAGATGTAGAAGAGATTTCAACAAATAAGGAACAATTTGATGAAAGTACTTCAAATTCAGATACAACAAATAAGTCTGTTAATGATAATGAATCCATTTCTGTGATAGAATCAAGCTCTAGTCAGGAATCTAGTAGCAGCAAACAAGAGAACTATACTACATTAGATGAATGTATACGCGATGAAGATGATTCAAAAGTTCAATCAACCTCGTCAGCGCAAAGTAATGACAATACTTTTTCCTTCGATATTTTAGACTCGAATGAATCGTGTGGATCTGAATCTAATATGGAAGACAAGGTTCAATTTCGTAAACCGGATACTTACGGAGTAACTACAAGAAGTGCGAAACTAAATCTCAGCATAGAAAATCTTGAAAGTAAAAATTTGGATACACAGTCAGCTTCAATATTATCCAATGAATCATGTGAATCAGAACAAACTCAAGGTAGTGAGATTTCAAATTTAATTTCAAATACTCATCGTAAGGAACTTAATAAGGTGACACAGGTTCGAAGACCTGACACTCCTCGTCCTATGATAGAACATTCTAGAATTACCAGATCAACAGCGGTCCGTTCTTTGACACCTCCACCAAGCCCCAATCCTGCAAAATCAATACAAAGAAGACAACCAGACACTTCACCCGAATGCTTCAAATCTTCTCCACGACCAGCAACGCGGTCTATGTCAAATATGAATTCTCCACTAAGAAATGAAGAACAAAATACGTCTTATGAGAAACCTACGACGCGTAGCACAAGATCTTTAGATAATGGTTTTTTGAATCCAGCTTTGTTCCGAAGAAGTAGTTCAATACCACCGATGAAACCAATGTCGGAAACAAGAGACTGCACTAGTTCTGTTTCAACTAGATCCAAAAGAAACAGTGAATCGGCCAGTGTAAATATAAATACAACGAGACGACGGCCAGATACACCTGTTCCTACTTTTGAACAAGGATCGAGAGTTACTCGATCTGGATTGAATTTCACGCTAAATTTGGGAAAATCGAGTCCTAATCATGTGTCATGTAAAGTGAATAAGCAAATCCGAAAAGCAGATTCATCTTCTGATTCAAAAATACAGGAAGAAGAATCTTCTGCTGTTTCACCAGTGTCCGGGAAGACAGAAACGTTGAACACAGATTCAAATGGAAACGCAGTTGTATCAGAAAATTTCGTTAAACGAGATGATTCTGCGCTACCTGCCTTTAATGAACTTAACGAGAAACCACAAAGAACAGCTAAAGTTGTTGCTATTCTCACTCTAGATACAAGAAGTAATCATACTAGTAAAGCTTCTAGTTCTATTCATGCAAAAACATCCAATTGCAATAGCACTGATACGAAGAGCACTAAAAAAAACGCCGATTCTAATTCAAATTCCTCGTCTGACACGACAGGAAAAAATTGCGTTCTTAGGATTTCAGACGTTACTTCGAATTGTAAACTAGATGGATGGTGTGGTTCTGGACTGGATACCGAATCACGTGACCGCGTTTCTTCTAACGTATTTTCAAATGTAGCAAGTACTTATACAAATTCCAATAAGACAGGAAAATCATTGACAATGAATAAAAATACACCATTGAATTCTAAACTTAAAACAGATAAAGTCTCGTTGCCTGTACAATCAACGGTGATAGCATTGGTTGATTTGGACAACGACCCTAATTACGACTCATCGGATGGATCAAAAAGATTAAGAAGAAAAATCAAACGGACTCGACTGTCGTCATTTGCAAAGCCGTTGATTGCCGGCAAAACTAACGAATCGCAAATAGTCGATACGTTAGATGACGAAGAGCAGATACCGCCATTGAAAAAGTCGATACGTTCTCAGCTTCCTCCTCCTCCCTCTTCCCCACCTCCTCCGCAAACAACTCAACTGGAAAAGATAAGTAGCGGTACTATATCTTGAGTCTCGCTAAAACTTTATCGCTGTAATATTTAGCAGCGTGTTTGTATAAATATTTCTCGTAACTTAGACACGCATAAACATTATCTTGGACTACTACTTGGAATGGCGTGCGCATAAAAAATCCAAGTTCTAATTGTTTCTTAATTTTCACATGATTCTTGTATATAACCACAAAAGTAAGGATAAGTAAGATGTTTCTTTCGTTGTACTGAGTACATACGTGTAACATTTTTAGCATTGTAAATTGTACTTTCCTGTAAAGGTTTCAAATGTCTTTAAGTGACATTGTAATTTATACTTGGTGATAAAAAAAAATGATGAAAGAAGTAAGGCATCAGACTGTATCATAGTAGAATATATAGACGAGGAAAAATTCATCATAGCTTAGTTCATTAGTACGCTGCGAAAGTCTCGCTTTTTGCGATGATTTTGTAGCGATTGGTCATATAAATAAAAGAGTTAGTTGATTCAGAGGTAAAGAACAGAAGTAATACTGTGAATGCGCCGTACTTTGCTCTCGTGTAAACGCCTTGTATTACATACCTTGCAAGGTGACGACCTGATTACATGCTAGACTTAAGAAGTTCTTCGTTTAATGGTATGCCCCACTGTAATATTTAAGTTGCGTGCCTGTATTTTGTATGATCGAGTGAGTCCGAGGAAGGAAATAAACAAAATATTCCTTGCTACGAAGATAATGTGTTTTCTTATTTCTTGGTGCGTATCCAAGTCTGTTCGATCAAAGGTTCAGTTCCGTTTTGGTGTCAAATTTTTGCTCAGTGTGCTTGGTTATATATACTGAGATCATTGAAAGTGGTGATCTTCCATTATCGCGATGTTTTGGTGTGGCAAGGCTAACATGACCGCACATTAAAGAAAAGAATTTTTTGCAAATTAGAAAATAACATGCAGTAGAAAGCTCCAAATAATTATTTAAAAAATGGCACCAAAACACTGCCTTTGCCATTCCAAACTTGGAGTCAGCCAAGGTATAAGCAGGCACATTAATGAGCGTCTTGTACAATATTTAATATTTATCCGAGAATGAAGTTTACTAAATTCTCAACTAGAAAAATGAGCCTTTGAACGAGCAAAAATGTATGAATTTTTCCTATTCATTTCCTTAATATTCCAAGAATATTTATTTATTCGATCACTTCATTTATATTTAATAGAAGAAGTATGAAGACGTATCTAAAAACGAAGAGGAAATACATTTTTCTTTAAATATTTCATTATATATGAAAAGTGGGTGCATCGTACA